GATCTTTTAAATATTAACCCTGTAGCATCATGCATGTGGCGCAGAAAGGGCAGTCTGACCAATAAGCCATGGATCCGGTGCAAGGAAGAGGGGATGCTTACTTCTCTGTAGGTAACTGGTTGTGGTGAAGTTTGCCAAAAGTCTGCACAATTTATTTAAATGTTTTAAACTGGTCACATTTTGTGAATTGGTGGAGGTGATGGGGAGATTGTTTCTGTCTAGGTGGGAATATGGAGTGGTCCTCGATTTTAAAAATATACACTCTGCAACAATTTAAGAGCAGAATGAAATGGACACAACTATGATTATGAATAATAAAGCAGCTGGAGAGATAGAGAGCATTCAAAAACCCGAGCAAAGAGCTAGATTTTATATCTGGGTGAAAAGAGCATAGGTGCCTGCCACATTTTGGAAGGGAGGGAATTCTGATTGTCCATGCTCTAGGGACCTCCTGCTTGGACTACTGCAATGCGCTCTACTTGGGGCTGCCCTTGAAGACAGTTTGGAGGCTGCAGCTCATGCAGAATGCAGCTGCTGGGTTGGTATGTGGGGCACATGCCACTGGTCCTGAAATTGCTGCTCTAGCTGCCCATTTGCGTTGTTCGCCCTAGTGTATAAAACCCTTGGGACCCAAAAAAACACAGAAGAGTGCCATCTCCTATATTTATTTAATTTGCATGTCATCCTTCATCCAAAGATTACAGGGTGGTTCTCCACATAAAAATGCAGAACGATAACACAAAATGCATAATAAAACCAAAACCAAACCAATGACTCCTACCCAATACACACAGTTGAAAGGCCATAGAATTAATCAGCCAAAGTCCTGGTTATAAATAAATGTTTTTGCCTGGCACCTAAAGATGTATAGTGAAGGAGCCAAGCAAGCTTCCACAAACTGGGAGCCACTTCAGAAAAGGTCTGTTCTTGTGTGGCTACCCTCTGGACCTCTTGTGGGAGAGGGCACACAAAGAAGGGCCTCAGAGGATTATCTCAGAGTCTGGGTTGGTTCATATGGGGAGAGGCAGTCTTTGAAGTATTGCAGCCCTGAGCCTTTTGAGGCTTTTTAGGTCAAAACCAGCACTTTGAATTGGGCCTGGAAAGCCATTGGCAGTCACCACAGTCAGGCTAGGGTCGGTGCCTCTTGGGCTTGCCAATCAGATCAGCGGTTCGAATCCCTGCGACAGGGTGAGCTCCCGTTGCTCTGTCCCAGCTCCTGCCGACCTAGCAGTTCGAAAGCATGCCAGTGCAAATAGATAGATAGGTACCTCTGTGGTGGGAAGGTAAATGGCATTTCCATGCACTCAGGTTTCCGTCACAGTGTTCTGTTGTGCCAGAAGCGGTTTAGTCATGCTGGCCACATGACCCAGAAAACTGTCTGTGGACAAACACCAGCTCCCTCGGCCTGAAAGTGAGATGAGCGCCGCAACCCCATAGTCGCCTTTGACTGGACTTAACCGTCCAGGGGTCATTTATCTTACCTTTTTACCTAATATGCTCAAACCATCTTGTCCCGGTGAGCAACCTGGCCACCGAATATCTGCCATCATGGGCCCTACAATCAGAAGCTGAGGTTTTAGTAGTGGTGCCACTGCAGGGTCCTAACTTGTTGGCAGTCTTCTGACAGTCATCACAGTGCTGATTCCCCAGATCTTCAGAGCACCCTCCCTGGTGAGGTGTGCCTCTCTGAGTCCTTCATTATTAACATTCAAAAGGAAGTTTAAAACATTCTCGTTCACTCAGGCATTTGATGGCTGAAAGAGAATGTTCCTGGCAACCTTGAAACTAATAACAATGAGGGTATGTGATTGTTGTTGTGTGCATGTTTTTTAAAAAAGATGTTGAGAACTTCTTACTGTTTTTGGAAGTGTTTTGTGTTTCTAAATATGTGTGTGTGTGTTGCTATAAGTTGTATTGCTTACTGCGTGGTTGCTGGCTAGTATGGGGTCTTGGAGCAGAGACTGTACCGCAGAGCTTTCCAAACTCTTCATGTTGGCGGCACACTTTTCAGACATGCATCATTTCATGACACAGTAATTCAGTTTTATTAGCAAACTGCAGGCTAAACTAACCCCTTTTAAGAGATACGGGCACCTATCACGTGACACACCTGCACACTGCTGCCAACACACTAACATGTTGCGATACACGGTTTGGAAAGCTCTGCTCTACTGGTTCTCACACAGGAACAGATCTTCCTCATCACATGTTCCGTGATCCTGGGGCAGATGCCAGAAATTGAAGCTGGGACAGCCCAGGTTCAGCCAAAGCATATGGCCCACCCATGAGCTATGATCTGTCCCCAAAGTACATGAGCTTATTATACTTTAAGCTAATGAAACACTCAGCACAACTTTCCAGCAGCCGGTGAGAGGGGCGGGGCGAAAGGCAGAGAGACCAACCGTAAGTAGAGACAGAGCCAATGACAGGCAGAGCCCATCCTCCTCCTTGCCGAGTTCTGCAAGGGCAATAAAAATAAGAATGAATGCTAAAGAAACAACCCTCAGATAATCTTACTATCTGGGTGCGGGTGGTGCTGTGGTCTAAACCACTGAGCCTTTTGGGCTTGCCGATCAGAAGGTCAGCGGTTCGAATCCCTGCGACGGATTGAGCTCCTGTTGCTCTGTCCCAGCTCCCGCCAACCTAGCAATTTGAAAGCACACCAGTGCAAGTAGATAAATAGGTACCACTGCGGCGGGAAGGTCAACGGCGTTTCTGTGCACTCTGGTTTCTGTCACAGTGTTCCATTGCGCCAGAAGCGGTTTAGTCATGCTGGCCACATGACCTGGAAAGCTGTTTGTGGACCACTGCCAGCTCCCTCAGCCTGAAAGCAAAATGAGCGCCGCAACCCCATAGTCGCCTTTGAGTGGACTTAACCGTCCAGGGGTCCTTTACCTTTTTACCTTTTACTATCTGTAGATCATCTTAGGTCAGGTGTGGGGAACTTTTGGCCCTGCAGATATTGCTTAGCTATGACTCCCATCATCCCAGGCAATTTCCGTGCTTGCTGTAGCTCATGGGAGTTGTAGTTTAGTAACATCTGATGGTCCAAAGGTTCCCCACGCTTGTCTTAACTGGAGATGCCAAGGACTGAACCTGGGACTAGTATTGCAGACTAAGTATATGCAATACTTTTAAGCTGTGTCTCCCTACCCCACCCAAATAAGTCTCTGCACTTCCCTCCATACCCTTTGTCCAGCCTCTCAGTCCAGTTCCTCCCTCCCCTCCCTGCAAAATAACTCACATTCCTGTCCTGCTGAGCTCTGCATGAAAGAAGAGCCCATGTTGATCTTACGTTTTTCACAGCTGTGGGTCCCCCCCCTCTCTTTCTTCACGTTGACAGTAATAGAGAAAGGCTTTGCAATTAAATAAAGAAAACTAAAAGCAGCTTATTGAACTGTGTGCTAATGGAGGCAGTCAAAGTGCCCTACTTGCAGGGTGTCTCCAGCCTCAACATAAATATATTTCCTATGAGCCAGCAGCTTTGCTCAAATGGACGCTGCAAAACTTCTTGGTAGCCAGGCAGGTACTATAGAGGCTATAGGGGGCCTCCTGAAGGCCTTATGGTATTTGTCTTAAAGCTGATTGATTCTCTAATGGTCCACTCTTTCCCTTACTCTCCATTTCCAGCTTTTTTTGTTTGTTTGTTTTTTTAAATAACAACCTAGTTATTGCTTAAACTAAGACTTGTATTCCCTTCACAGACCTACAATTTTCAGATTCCCCTGGGAAGAGGGTTTGGTTGTTAAACCACTCTGAAAATTGTAGCTCTGTGAGGGGAATCGGGACCTCCTAACAGCTCTCAGTACCCTTAACAAACTGCAGCTCCCAGGACTGTCAAAAGCAGTACAAGAGTGCTTTAAATGTGTTGTGTGGGAGTGACCGTCGTTGCAAAAAACAGCATTTTCAGAATTTGAGTAGCTCTTTAAAAGGGACAGGAAAGAGAGAAACAGAGGGGAAGAAAAGAGCAGACCCCCTAATCCCTGCCTGAAAGTATAACAATGTCAGATCATTTCAACAAAACTCTTTCAATCCCTTTCTTTGGCTGAAACTACACATATATAAAAAAACACTCTGAATGTTGTTGTTTTTTTAAAAAAGTTTAAAAATATATATGGAATTTGCCATTAGCTCACCACCACCACCTAGTGTCACATTTGTATAATGCACTTAAAACACTCCTACCCTGGGTCTGTTTTGATAGACAAATGTACTGTTACACATCACCCCAATCTCCACAGCAGGGTGAGTTTCCAGGGTCTGGGTTCCCTTTTGGTAATTAGGTACAGCAGAGACTGCAGTGTCTTTATGATGTATGGTTCATATCCACAACCTGAGTCTACAGTGGAGGGATTTCCAACATTCACATCTCTCTGGAGCAGCGGGTATAGATGTACAAACAGAGGAACCAGCCTTTGTTGCTGCCTGCTCCAACCAGCCCGCCTAGAGTTCTGCTGGTCCCCCTTGCTTATCAAACCTCTTGCAAAACACCACCATTTTCATTCAGCCTATCACAAACTGTTTCTTTCCCTGCCCACTGACACACACACCTCTCTGTCTCCCCCAGTCTTTGCCCTGGCCACCACAATCTTTGGTTCCTCTTAAGGACTTACCTCCCACACGATGCCCCGGTCCGGAAACAAGTTTAGACGGCATTTTACACTGTTAACTCCAATGTCTGCCAACACGTCTTAATTCTCAAAGCACTGATTAAACCCCAGCACCCAGGAATCTGGAGGGGGTCAGGGCACCCACAAACCTGTAACAGTATAGATGACAAGATCCCTAAGCGTGCACTGAGGATGCCTGTACCACATTTTTCTCTCGTTGGGAAATACCGAAGCGATTTTAGATATCCCCTGGAATTAGTGATGATGAGTAAGCCAATGTGACTGCGGTCCTATATTCACTTAGCCAGCTAGGAATGTCCCACTGAACATCTGAGTAGACACATGCAGGATTGTATGACACATACAGTCAGCCAGGTCTAGGCATCATGATATAGATTATGATTTTTTTAAGGCATAAAGGTACATTAGGATAACTTAAAAGTATGGGTGTAAGAAGCTGTTATGTATGAGGTCAGACTATTTTGTCCACCTCATTGGCTCCTCTGGCTGGCAATGACTCTTCAAAGGTCTCTGCCATAGGTGTCTGCAATCCTTTACTGGTGAGTGATGCTGGGACCTTCTGCACCCAAAGGATGTGCTCTTCCAGGGAACTATGGCCTTTACCCAGAAGGAAAAGCAGGCAGGGCAGGACATCCTGTAGATGTTGTTGGACTCCTTCGTCCCCAGTCATATGCCCCATGGCAGCTGTGGTCCAGCAACCTCTGGAGAGCAGAGGGTCTTCATCCCTGGAATAGGGGGAAAGCCTTGGCTAAATAATGTGGACATTAATTCCATTGCTTCTCTCGTGCTAAACGAATGCTCTGCCACTTGAGCATGGTTACTTCAGGGGTAACCGTGCCCCTGAAGGACCAGATGCGCAGCCTGGGAGTCATTCTGGACTCACAGCTGTCCATGGAGGCACAGGTTAATTCTGTGTCCAGGGCAGCTGTCTACCAGCTCCACCTGGTATGCAGGCTAAGACCCTACCTGCTCGCGGACTGTCTCGCCAGAGTGGTGCATGCTCTAGTTAACTCCCACTTGGACTACTGCAATGCGCTCTACGTGGGGCTACCTTTGAAGGTGACCCGGAAACTGCAATTAATCCAGAATGCGGCAGCTAGACTGGTGACTGGGAGTGGCCACCGGGACCACATAACACCGGTTCTGAGAGATCTGCATTGGCTCCCAGTATGTTTCCGAGCACAATTCAAAGTGTTGGTGCTGACCTTTAAAGCCCTAAATGGCCTCTGTCCTGTATACCTGAAGGAGAGTCTCCACCCCCATCGTTCTGCCCGGACACTGAGATCCAGCACCGAGGGTCTTCTGGTGGTTCCCTCATTGCGAGAAGTGAGGTTACAGGGAACCAGGCAGAGGGCCTTCTCGGTAGTGGTGCCCACCCTGTGGAACACTCTCCCTTCAGATGTGAAGGAAATAAGCAGCTATCCTATCTTCAAAAGACATCTGAAGGCAGCCCTGTTTAGGGAAGCTTTTAATGTTTGATGCATTACTGTATTTTAATATTTTGTTGGAAGCCGCCCAGAGTGGCTGGGGAAACCCAGCCAGATGGGCGGGGTATAAATAAATTATTATTATTATTATTATTATTATTTACAATGGACCTCTGTTTTACATTTTAGATGCAAGCTTTGTCATTAGCTAGCACTGGGGACTTGGGCTGGATTGTCCTGCGATCTCTAATTCCATGCGCCGGCAGTAGTTCTCGGTCACGCCATTATGTCATAGCCTCATCTGCTTACCGGCAGAAAGCTGCAGCGATGAGAACATCAATGATATCACAGCTGGAGATCTGCAAATAGCTGGAATGAAACTGACCAAGTTAAAATCCATTAACACATATAGACTCACACCTGGCTGGCTGCTCTCCAGCACAGCTGCGCTACTCAAAGAGAAAGGTTTGCCTCTGGAGCCTTCCCCCAACATCCAGGAAAGGGTTGGTTCATTAGCTTAAAGGAGTCATGTCAAAGGCACAAGTGAGCACTCAGGAATCTGTTTGTCTTGGGGAGCACATTCAAAACACTACCAAACCCTTTGTCACGTCAATGCAAAACTGATGACAACACAAACAACAGGCTGTGTGTAACTATATAAATCTTTTTAAATGCAATTCAACATATGTGGAATTCTTATATCAATCTTGTAGTCAGTCATCCATTATGACTGAATCCATTATGTTCCAGGTCCCTGATATACAAGAATACAAGTATGCACGGCTGAAGAAGCCCGGCTGGGTGAAACAAGGAATTATCCTCGAATCCTTGTATTATTTTCTGCATGTGCCATTCTTCCAAGTTTTTCGTCTGATACCTGCATACAAGGAACGCTAGAATTCCTAAAAACATCTTCACATGGAACACTCCAAGATTGATATAAGAATTCCGTACCATGGACATAGCCAATATAAGAACTGAATAGATTATATATCCTGATCAATCCGCTGGACGTTAATTTCTCATAATATGTTTCATTTATATGATAAGTTGGTCTGTAGAACCATATATTTTGATATGACATGCTGAATCACATTTAAAAAGATTTATATAGTTGCACACGGCCTGTTACATTGTTTGTATTGTTATCTCTCTTGGGGAGCAGCTGTTATGAACCATGGCCTATCAGCCTAGGAGTCTAGTGTCATAATAACAATAACAATAACAATAACAATAATTTATTATTTATACCCCACCCATCTGACCGGGCCTCTCCAGCCACTCTGGGCAGCTTCCAACAAAATATTAAAATACAGTAATGCATCAAACATTAAAAGCTTCCCTAAACAGGGCTGCCTTCAGATGTCTTCTAAAAGACTGGTAGTTGTTCTTCTCTTTGACATCTGGTGGGAGGGTGTTCCACAGGGCGAGTGCCACTTCCGAGAAGGCCCTCTGCTTGGTTCCCTGTAACTTGGCTTCTCTCAGTGAGGGAACCACCAGAAGGCCCTTGGCGTTGGACATCAGTGTTCGGGTAGAACGATGGGGCTGGAGATGCTCCTTCTGATATACCGGACCGAGGCCAGTATATACCAGGATATAAAGAATACCAGGAGCTATATATTACTTAGAGAGGTGGGCACATTCTTCCTCTCCTTGCTTATTGCCTACCCCACCCCACCCCCACTGCTGCTGTCTCCTCTCCACCCTGAACCAAGCTGCTGCAGCCGGCAACAGGCTGTAGGAAGGCAGTGCTTATAGCAGCTGTGAATGTATGTGCTGTGCACTATGATGTAATTGCATTCAGGATGTGTTTCCTAATTGGCTGGGATTACCTAGCAAAAGTGAATATTCTCAAACTGACAAATGGAACAGGTGAAGGTTCATATTGAGGGAAACCAAACTTCAAACAGGTGTGGGCAGCGAACTACTCAAAGGAACAATATCTCCCCGAAAACCAAAATGTATAGTCATGAAAATTTAGCACAGCGTAATGGGATACTGCTCCCATAGGCAGAACTGTCAGGGTTATTGCAATATCATAATGTGAGATATATAAACTAGGCTACATACCTTTCTTTAAAATGTCTCTAAAGCGTATGGCGATATTCAGGCGTCATGGTCAGATGAAGCCCACCTAATGTGAGACTAATTAACTCATTTGCCCTCTTTTGTCTACCTTTCCAGGGGCAAAGCCAAGCATTGTATACTTTCTGTGACTAGAATTACATCGATTGCTGAGTCCTAAAATGAACTGCGTTTTGCCTGAATCAGTAAGGGAAAGGCGGTTAGGGCAGGAGGCAGGATTTTAAAATATAGGTTCAGGTGCCTTTCAAGGTTGGGAGGCCCAGATTTGGGCTTCTATTTTTGCTCTTATCTATTTGTACAGCACATGTAATTTTGAATGACTTTTGCTGCCACAAATGAATGCTTCAGTGCAGCATCCCGGCATCAGGTAAATAATTAACTCTCAGACCTAGTCCCCAACTGCAGTAATAAACCTGTGTCTGGGCTGTACACTTCAGAACACTTCTTCCTGGCATCCATATTTCCCTCCCTGTCTGGGGATTTGTTTTCTCATCACCATTTCCTCTGTTTCCAATGTTCAGGTGGTAAGTGCTGTTCCAGACCCCCCCCAAGTGTCCCTATTTTCACAGAAGCCACCCTGGTTTCGGATCTGATCCCAGAATGTCCCGCTTTTCCTTAGGATGTCCCTATTTCGATCAGAGAAATGTTGGCGGGTACGCAGTTATCTGACCCCCCAAGCCATCTGAAGGCAGCCCTTTATAAGGAAGTGTTTTTTAAAAAATATATATATTAATGTTTTATTATGTTTTTATATATGTTGAAGCTGTCCAGAGAGGTTGGGGTAACCCAGTCTGCTGAGTGGGATATAAATATTAAAATTATGATGATCTTGATGGAATAGTAAAGGTAAAGGGACCCCTGACCATTAGGTCCAGTCTTGGCTGACTCTGGGGTTGTGGTGCTCATCTCACTTTACTGGCCGAGGGAGCCGGTGTACTGCTTCCAGGTCATGTTGCCAGCAGGACTAAGCCGCTTCTGGAGAACCAGAGCAGCGCACGGAAACGCTGTTTACCTTCCCGCCGGTGTGGTACCTATTTATCTACTTGCACTTTGACGTGCTTTCGAACTGCTAGGTTGGCAGGAGCTTGATAGAATAGGACGTCCCTATTTTCACCAGAGAAATGTTGGTGGGGATGCTGTGCCTTTTGTAGCCAACATGACCCCACCCATGCACAAGACCAGGGTATCAGTAGGCTTGGGGAAACTTAAAGGTTTGCAGAAGTCCAAACAATATTTTTAATTTTTTTTTGGTGCAGGGACCCAAAACAGCCCAATTCATGCTCTCACTGTCCATTGAATGCTGATTGGCTGATTGGTGGTGGTGATAGGAAGATGGAAATTGGGGGGTGGAATGGGTGAAATCCCGAACAGGAAACACACTACATCACAATATATTGGTGGAGGTTCCACTTGCATGTACTGCTAGCAGCCTCAGTCTCCCAGTGCCTGTCTCATACTAGTCAAAATGGTACCACTCATGTGCAAGACATGGTGGTTTGGTTTTTGGATCCTGGGTCTGTGGTTCTTCACCTTGGTTGTAAAGAAAAACTTTTTATCCATTATTTTCCCCTTTTCCCTTCCAACCCCACCTTCTCTGTTCTTATCTTCCCATCATCAACATTGCCAAAGAAGGCTGTAGCAGACATAGGCAAACTTCGGCCCTCCAGATGTTTTGGGACTACAACTCCCATCTTCCCTAGCTAACAGGACCAGTGGTCAAGGGATGATGGGAATTGTAATTCCAAAATATCTGGAGGGCCGGAGCTTGCCTATGCCTGGTCTATAGGATCACTAGGCGAGGACCACGTCACTCCAGTGTTTAGTGTCTCATGCACAGAACAGTTGTAATGCTTCTCTCAGCCGGCTCTCAGAGCTTGTCCAGAAGGCACCTCTGATGTTCACACAACCACATTTGGGTGCCTTGAGAGAAATAACTAACAGCTAGCAAAGGAGGAGTTGGAACTTGATATCCCGCCTTTCCCTCCCCTTAAGGAGTCTCCAAGCGGCAAACAATCTCCTTTCCCTTCCTCCCCCACAACAAACACTCTGTGAGGTGAGTGAGGCTGAGAGACTTCAGAGAAGTGTGACTAGCCCAAGGTCACCCAGCAGCTGCATGTGGAGGAGCGGAGACACGAACCCGGTTCGCCAGATTACGAGTCCACCGCTCTTAACCACCACACTACAATGGCTCAAAGACACACACACACACATGGAACATAAGTCTTTTGAAGCTGACATGTCTAATCCTCTTAAGCTTGACCATTACTTTGCACAAAAATACTCAACTGGCCTAAATGCTATTGTGTCAGCAACATCTCATTCAAAGTTGAGCAAAAAAACCCCAGTGTCTGGGTTGTTTCGGAGCAAAATCACCTGTTAGTAAGCTGTCATCCATTGGAAGCTGTCATCGTGAAAGTAAAATATGTTCCTCAAATTCTTTGCAGATAGGCAATAATTGCATCAGGGAGAATGTGGCCTTAGAAACATGATTTGCCACCCTAGGCTCCTTTGGGAGGAAAGGCAAGATATATATTGAATGCATGCATGCATGCATGAATGAATAACATATAGAATAGTTGTTTTCTAGAGCAGTGGTTTTCAACCCGTGTGCCATGGCACCTTGGGGTATCTTGATGCCCTCTCGCATCTCTGCCTCCCAAAGGCTTGCACAGCCATTTGTTGCAGCTACCCAGGCGATTGGTGCCTCTGGGGCTGGTCAGGGGGTGCTTCCCAGTCCCCTGTGGGGCAGTGTGTGGAGGCACCTCTCTTTGGGGTGGGGGGGCAGTTCAGAGACCAGGGATGGCAGCAGCGGCTGCCCGGAGGACTCCCAAGGAGAGGAGGGGAGAGGAGAGGAGGCTGCTGGAACACTCCACAAGGGGAGCGTTTGAAAAAGGGTGAGAAGCTGCCAGCTCTGCAGGCAAGGGGTGACATAACTGGGATCCTGAGCCCCACAGGGGTGCCGCAGAAAGAATGTAGTTGGCCAAGGGAGCCATGGACCCAAAAAGGTTGAAGGTCTGGTCTAGAGCCATGGACCCAAAAAGGTTGAAGGTCTGGTCTAGAGCAATATTGTTGTATGAACATCTCCCATCTGCAATTATTAAGTGGTATAAGTGGTATGGGACGTGGGTGGCGCTGTGCGTTAAACCACAGAGCCTAGGACTTGCTGATCAGAAGGTTGGCGGTTCGAATTTCCACGATGGGGTGAGCTGCCATTGCTCGGTCCCTGCTCCTGCCAACCTAGCAGTTCGAAAGCATGTCAAAGTGCAAGTAGATAAATAGGTACCACTCTGGCGGGAAGGTAAACGGTGTTTCCGTGAGCTGCTCTGGTTCGCCAGAAGTGGCTTAGTCATGCTGGCCACATGACCCGGAAGCTGTAAGCCGGCTCCCTTGGCCAATAAAGCGAGATGAGTGCCACAACCCCAGAGTCAGCCACGACTGGACCTAATGGTCAGGGGTCCCTTTACCTTTACTATGGGCCTAGTACAGGTCCACCACCTCAATGGGAACTAATTTAAGGCTGCATTTCTAGATACTTTTAATGGGGATTAAGCCCCATTGAACATAGCTGAGCTTATTTCTGAGTAAACATGCATAGGATTGTGGTCTTAAATGTTATGCATTTTATGGATGACATTTGTCTACCACCTTTCCTCTGAGGAGCTCCAAAAAGAAAGTCTGGTTCTCTCTCCTCCACTCTATCCTACCCTGTGAAGTAGCTTAGGCAAACAGGCAGTGGCTGTTTCAAGATCACCCAGTGAGCTTTGTGGTAGAGGTCTCTGCCCAGTCATAGTCCGATACTCAGGGGCTCTTTGGGAGCCATCAGTAAAAAAAATTTAAATGATGGACAGATTTGGGGGGCCTTGGGGAAACCGCAAAAAATGTTTGGCATTACAGTGGGGTACCTATGAGTCAGGGGGAAAAAACTTCAAATGTTCAAAAGCACAGATGTGTGGAGTGGGATGCTTTCGGAGGGGCACAAATAATCTTTTGGCATCACAGTACCATAGCAGGGCACGGCACCCTTGGGAGTACAGTGGTACCTCAGGTTAAGTACTTAATTCGTTCCGGAGGTCTGTACTTAACCTGAAACTGTTCTTAACCTGAAGCACCACTTTAGCTAATGGGGCCTCCTCCTGCTGCCGCACCGCCAGAGCACGATTTCTGTTCTCATCCTGAACAAAGTTCTTAACCCGAGGTACTATTTCTGGGTTAGCAGAGTCTGTAACCTGAAGCGTATGTAACCTGATGCGTATGTAACCCGAGGTACCACTGTAGTCCAAAGAAGAAGAATATTTTTTATTTTAAAAAATAAATAAATAAACCATTTGTAATTTTTTTTTTAAGGGAGAGAATGGGGGCCTTGAGGGACCTACAATAAAACCTTTTGGCATCATAGCATCACATGGAGATATTCATAGGAGCATTTCTTTTTTTTGAAAAAAGACACTTTTGGGGGGCCTGGGGAGCCCCCACAAAATCTCTCTTGGGGCTAGATGAAGGCTGCTGGGCTGCAGGTTAGCTACAGTACCCCTGCTCTTGTGCTATTGCATGTCTCTGAGAACGCCCGCAGGTTACTAGTATGCCGTAGGGCCTGACGTGTATCCTTCTTGTGTCTTTTAGAAGACACAACTGAAGCCATCCAGAATTCCCAAGACGAATAAAGGCTGAGGCACTTGGAAAGCCCTTCTGCAGTCTTCATCATTTTTGTTAGTGTTGCTGATCACACCGGCCTTCCTTTTTCTCTGCCGGGCAGAGTTGCTGGACCTATTTCCTCCGCTGGTGAACCTTTAATCTTTTCGGATTGGAAACGTTGCCCTCAATATCAACAACGCTCAGCCTTGAGCTTAAGCAAACACACAACAAAAAAAGAGACAAGAGACTCGGGTCAGTCTTGTCAGCTTCAGACCAGGTGGCCGAGAGCAGACAGGCAGCAAACGGGTTTCCGCAGAGCAAGCCCAGAATCAATGGACAGTTTGGAGGGTTCACGGTTGTCAATGATGAAGGAAGTGTTTGACAGCTTGCAACTGGTAAGAGCTGCGCAGAACTCTCTGCTTAGATCTCTTTCTGCTCTGTTTTGAAAGTGATTGCTAGGTAGATTGCTGTGTGTGTTTTCAACTGCTTCTTCTGAATCTTAAGATTTCTGGATTCTAGCTAAAATTCCAGTTTATCTAGAGTACGGCCCTTCCTTCCTTGCAAAACGCAAACTTCTTGCCTTTTGTGTCTTGATTCAGCTGCTAATTCATTGCAAGTTTCTCTGTGGTTCATTGGTGAAAAGAGAGTTAATTTGTGGGGTGGGGTGGGGTTGGAATATAGGAATATCTGCTAAAACCAGAAGAAATAACAGCAACATGCAGGGTGTGTCTCTAAGGTGGTAGCTGAATTATTCAGGCACATGCCCAGGTTAGCGCCATAGGAGCAATGCACAATACCCAGTCAGTCTGCACCACCAACAGTGTAGAAATAAATGAGATTGCAAGGCCAGCAGTGACTGTGCTATCAACACAGAGTCTTATGAGCCACCATTCAGATATTGCAAATGGGGCATTTGCAACAGGTTTGTTTTTTTTAATAAAAAAACTTACTGGATTTCCCCCAGAAAGACTACATTCAGATTAAATGAGGTGAAATATTAGTGTTTTGATGCCATGGCTGCTGTGTGGATATTGTGAACGTTTCGCATGCACACGGAACATGCATCCCATGATAAACACCTGTCTGGAAGCATCCATCGTTTCTGTTTTTAAAGTGGTAATTTGGTCCCTGTAGCAAGAAACGGGCACAGTGGAAGCTTGCAACTGGCCAGAAATGAAATTTGAATGTGATTATATTTCAGGCGTGCCTTCCCTTCCCTGTTTCATGGCATTCTGAACTGCTCTCCATCAGAGACAGGATGTTTGGCTGGAGGAAGTACTTCAGGGATGGCACAGAAACCTCCTTTACTTGACATTTTAAAAATAGGGAACGGATTTTTACAGCTTAATTCAATTAGGAATAAAAGCAGATGCATTGATGATTAGTATTATTAAAATTGTTTATATACTGTCTTTCATTTCAAGAAGAAATACCAAGGTGGTTCACTGTGGTCACTGTTGTAACTCTTAAGATCAGAGTGAATAATAATAATAATAATAATAATAATTCATTATGGTTAGTGTGCATAACTCTTGAGAAAAGTACTGGGGAACCTCTAATTCTCCAGATGTTGTTGACTATGGCCACACGCACCTCATTAATTTAAAGCACTATGATTACCGCTTTAAACAGGCATGGCTTCCCCCAAAGAATTCTGGGAGCTGTAGTTTCTTAACAGTGCTGAGAGTTCTTAGGAGACATCAATTCACCTCGCAGAGTTTCTGTTCTTAGAGTTGTCTGTGAAGAGGGATTGATTGCTAAACCACTCTGGAAAATGTAGCTCCATGAGGAGAATAAGAATCTCCTAAGAGTGATCAGATTTCTCAACCAACTATATGGTTCCCATGATTCTTTGGGAGAATCCATGACCGTTTAAAATGGCACGATACTGTTTTAAATGTATAGTGCAGATGTGGCCCAGCTTTGGAAACGTGTGTGCCAATCTCGTGTCAATTTCAACTGTCCAGTTCGGAACACAGAGGAAGATGGTGAGCTCTTGAGCAGAACTGGGGACCAGGTAGGCTGGGATTTCACAGTGACATTGACACAGGATCTTAATACATCATTCAACATTTTTGTCCCAATCAACCCAGAGAAGAAGGCAAATATGGTAGATAGGCAGATGGAAGGCATTCACAATTCTTAGCTGGTGTGTCCTGATTTTCATCAGGTGCATCAGTCTGTGCAAACCCCATTATGTGAATGCAATGGACCAAACTGAGCTTTGGGCATTCCAACACAAGTCATGCTAAACACACTCTGAGGGATATGCCGAAAGCCAAATCTGGGCAGGACTCAACCTGAAGGCATGCATGCATAGCACACAACTAGTACAGGTCAACAGGGTGGGAGATTAGCAATGCTCTGGTTGGCAACAGTGGCTTCCATGGATTGAGGTGAGTTCTTGAGGATGCCTGGCAACCCGCTGCTGGAAACTAACATTCTGTTAGTTAACCAACAGAGTTCTTCTTATATTATGCCTTGTCTCAGCTCTTTTGCGTCAGTGTGCTGCATCTGAAAGAAAGGCAGAATTCTCTCAGGGAAAAGTATCATTCTGAATTAGGATATGCAGCAGTTAGCAAGTGTCACTAATATGAATGGAATTACGATGCCAAGGAATGGATGTGATTGTGAAAGCATTTCCCTTTACACAGCGTTTTGGATGGCCCCATCACAGAGGTGATGAAAGGTTGCATGCTATGTTGCCCAATTGCATTCTCAACCCCATCCCAGGCCACTTGGCTACAAAAAAAATGAAATACCAAAACTAATGTCAATATTTAGAGTTTGTACTATATTTAGTTCCTGTTGCACCAGTTTTTAGCAAGTGAGCTGATCAATTAAATTTCCCTTTTTAGACCTGGCATCTAACCAAAAGCTAAAAATAGAAGACCCAAGGTCCTTTGGCTGCTAATTTAGGCACTGATCCTCTGAGCATTCCGTAAATATAGAACTTGGATTTAGAGTGAAAAAATGTGGGGCAAAGATTTAAATCCACATTTCCAAATAGTGGTTGTCGGAGTTGTGTGTGGAGAGTATGTGAGGTTGGAGTTTTCCTGGTGTTTCTTTCTCCCCCATTGATGAAGTGCTGACTTACGCCTTCTAAACTCTCTTGTTTGGCAGCAATTATACTGTACTTGTGCATAATGTAAGAGAGCATATGGAGGCAAGGAAGAGAGATTTTTTAAAAACATGCTTGTGCATTCTTAACTGTAGATGAAGCACATTATCTTCGATAATGCATGTGTGTGTTGCCATTATTACAAGTCACTCCATTATTATTATTTTTATTAAAATAATTCAGCATTAATACATACATATTACGAATAAACAGACAAACATACATTTCATACAATCCTTAAAAATATTCATACCTACCCACACTCAATCCCACAGATACTTCCTTTTCCCACCACCATCCCTCACCCCACCCTTGTGTTAGACTTCCAATCTACTCAATTGCAATTCCTTTACACTTCTATTACAGTGGTGCCCCGCAAGACGAATGCCTCGCAAGACGAAAAACTCGCTAGACGAAAGGGTTTTTCGGTTTTGCGTTGCTTCGCTAGACGAATTTCCCTATGGGCTTGCTTCGCAAGATGAAAACGTCTTGCGCTTTTTTCTTAAAGCTGCTTGAAGAGGCGCAGTTGCGACGGACCGTGCTTCGCAAGACGAAAAACATCGCAAGACGAAAAGACTCGCGGAACGAATTATTTTCGTCTTGCGAGGCACCACTGTACTTTCTTTCACACACGTTTAAACCAACTTTCTACTTCTTTTTCTGTTACACATTGTTATCCATCTTATTTAGTATTTCAGTATTTATAACGGAACTTGTTTATTCTAATAGGAGTTCTGATTTTTCAATGTGATTTTGCAAGTATAAGTCATTGCATTATTACAGTGATATCCCACTAAGAACATGTGAAACATCTTGCTCACTGTGGTTTCCCAGAGTTTCAGGCAGGGTTCTTTCCCAGTGTGACCTGGAGATGCCAGGGATTTGGAACCTTTTGTGTGCAAAGCAAGTGCTCTACAACTGATGTTAAGCAGGACATAAAAAAGTCCTTCTGATGTCTAGCAAGACATTAAAAAGTCCTGCTAGATCAGACCAGGTGCCCACCTAGTCTAGCATTCTTCTCTCACTGTGGCCAACCAGATGTCTATGGGAAGCCCACACCATAAGCAGAATTTAAGCACTACAGCACTTTCCCCTTCTGTGATTCCTAACAACTGTTATTCAGAGGCATTCATCTTCAGAGCAGGAGGTGGGTCTGAGTAATTCCCGGGGGAGGCTTAACACGCACACACATCACTTTATGTTGGAGCTGGTTGTATCAGGTCAGACAACTGATCCATCTAAGTTCAGGGACAGGCACTGAATAATTAAGCGGGAATGAAGCGATGCTGCTATGTTGCTAAACAAGAAGTAATGCAATGGGCAGAAGCTGCAAGGAGGAAGCTACTAACATACCCTGCAACATTTCTCCGATGAAAATAGGGACACCCTATTCCGTAATTATAATAAATATAATTTTATACCCTGTCCATCTGACTGGGTTGGTCCAGCCACTCTGGGCAGCTTTCAACATATATAAAAACATAACAAAACATTAAACATTCAAAAACTTCCCTATACAGGGCTGCCTTCCGATGTCTTCTAAAAGTTGTTACTTATCTCCTTGGCTCGAAGGTTGCATAACTCCATACCCTCCAATATTTCACTGATGAAAATAGGGACATCCTAAGGAAAAGCTGGACATTCCGGGATCAATTCAGAAACTGAGACAGCTTCTGTAAATCCAGGACTATCCCTGGAAAATAGGGATACTTAGAGAGTCTCTATTAATTAAAGGCACAATGGCCTTGAAAATCTTCGATGGAATTGTCAGCTATGCCACTCCACACTAGACATGTTAGTGTTGCAGTTCCTTTTTAGCATAGGAAAAAGATAACCACAAATCAGGTCTAAAAAAGTTGGGAGGATGACAGAGAAAGCACTGGAATGGAAAAGGCTAGCAATGCAGTTGACTGGGATTCGCAGCAAATAATAATGATAAAATGAGTGAACAAAACATGGAAATTCCAGACCACAATCTCTTGGAGTATAGGAACTGCTGTCCCTTGACTGTCCTGTGGGGTGTGCATAGGGCAGAAAAAAAGCTGGCTCGAGTCTGTGAAGTGGCACCCTTTTTGGATCAGAAATGCTGACCTACTGTTTTCTACATAAGCAGCAAATGAAGGCCAGTGGTGATAGGTATAGAGTGCATTGACACTGTTCACAAGGACACCCAAATCCTTACATAATTCTAGCAGGAGTTTAATATAGGACAAGAGTTGAAGGAATCATTACAACATGAAGTGGTGGCATGCAGACTCCACCTGCACCCTTTAAGTGACTCTGTTGACACATGCTATACTGTACCCATCTTCTTGGACATTTGCTTGTGTGTCTTCTCATGTAGGTGGAGCAGATCCTCTCAGAATTCCGGCTACAGGAACAGGATCTGAAGAAGGTGATGCATCGGATGCAGAAGGAGATGGACCGGGGCCTGAAGCTGGAGACACATGAGGAAGCCTCTGTGAAGATGCTGCCTACTTATGTACGCTCTACCCCTGAGGGATCAGGTAAGCAACAATGGTGGTTGTGTCATTTTGGTGTAGCTCAGGAGGTCTGACCTACAACCAACCTACCTGCTGAAGTCAAGGATACTAGCATAGGGCTAGATAACCTGTGGCCCTCTAGAAGTTGCTCAACTCAACTCCCATCGTCCAGGCAGCAGGAAACATGGGCAATGGCCAGGGATAATGGGAGCTGTACTCCAACAGCATCTAAATGGCCATATGTTCCCCACTACAATGCTATTGTCCAGAAGCAGTTCCCCAAACAGGGCTTCTTGGCAGGTGAGTCACTGTTGCTTACCAGGATGGAATGGGGGAGAGGAGAGGTGGCAAGGAGATTGGCATGGTGCAAATGCATTGGCAGGGGCCGTGAATTGGCTCTGCCGGTGCATTTGTGCTGCACTGACTTTACTGCTTCTTCACCCCTTCTCCTTCCAGGAAGCAACAGTGACCCACTTACTGGGAAGCTAGCGTTGTGGCTCCACCCCATCCAATGAACCACTTCTGCTAGTATGTCTTCTGAACTCTTATGTCCTGACCCCTGACTCTGATCCAATGTTTACTATAATTGAGCTGTTCTCATTATAGGTTGCTGGCCCATTTAATGAATGTCAGAGACTGCCGTAGATTAACAGTAACTCTTTTATGGTATAAAAGTGACTATACAGTAGCCCTAATAAACTCACCAATGCAGAACTTATTGTGCTTTAGTCCTAATCTAGCTTCACTTCCCATGCCCTAGCCTGCCCTTTCAGGATCCCATTTCACCACATTTACAAACAACTGAGGGAAACAATGAGCTGCATGAACAACCCTTAGTAACTTTTGTACCCTGAGGTGATGAGTAAACTATCAGTCAGCTCTAATAGCACCTGGGGATTATTCTGCTCTTAATTGGTTGCTATTTCTATCTAAAGAATGATTAGTCTCTGTATTGTGCATTTCCTGATCAGTCTGCCTCTGGAGGTCACTTTCCATGCTCACAGGATGGGAAACAAGCTGCCATAGATGGCAACTGCTGATGTTTCAGGATCTTGGTCTATTGAAGCTTTGTTCTCCTGCTAGCTCTGTCCTTAAACTTGTTGATTGTATGGCTGGATATGATTCTGGCACAAGTCTCACGTGTTTTCTGCTCCTTCTAAATGTATCACTGTTGGTCATTACAGCATTGGATTGTGGTGTCAAATAGTGCCCCTGCCCCTGGTTCTGACCATCACCTCTGACTGTCAAGTTTTATTCTCACCTGTGAACCAGGATGTAGTTTTAGCAATGCTTTTATCAAACTGTAACTTATATAGGCTTTTCTGCCTTTTTATCTGCTACATGGACTTCCTTCAGATCAGGCCACTGGGGATACAGGTCTGTTTCCAGGGTCAGAACTGGTACTTTGTTGTTGACCCATTAACAACTATGCTGGGCTGTTGGTTGCATTAATTGCAGTTGCTCTATCACTCACTTAAAATGGATCTTCTTTTTTCAGGCTCTGCTTTGTGGTTTGGATTGCTCTTTGTGCCTCCCCATTGGCTTGTAGGTAGTGTTGGCAATGTGGCTAAAATTACATTTCTTTGTGAACTGGGAAAACTCCTTCTCTGCAAATTGTGGGGCATTATTTGTTACAAGTTCATCAGGCCCCTGTCTGACAAATACAGTCTTTAAACAACTGATGGTGGTAGAATTTGTAAGATCAATCATGTGTGCTATTTCTAGATATTTAGAAAAATAGTCTATATACGTAGCAACCAGGTACTTATGCTCATGTAATTCATAAATGTCTGTTCCAACTTTTTTCTAAGGTCTGTCCTGTAATGGAGTAAAAGTGGTTTCTTTTTTTTTTTTTGCAAAAATTTTATTAGTTTTTACAATATCAACGACAAAGACAAACACAAAACAAACAAAACATAACAAACATAAATCATACCCTTATTGAAAATAACAGTTATTTACTTTGTAAAACGACTTCCTCATTTCCCCTTAGTTGAATTTCATTGCATATCCTTATAACGGTTTTCCAAATCCCAATTTTGATACCCTTTAAATTAAACATTAACATCTTTAAGTCTTCTCCTTCTTGTATTAAACATATTATTTTATCAGTTGACATAAATATAATCCTAAGCCCAATAAGTATCTGGACGCTATTTCCAGTTATTTTAGCTTAACAAATTTAGCTAAATAATCATTAAATTTCTTCCATTCTTCGTGGTGTTCCTCCTCCTTCTGGTCGCGGACTCTTCCGGTTAGATCGGCTAGCTCCATAAAATCCATCATCTTCATCTGCCATTCTTCTACTGTTGGTAATTCTTGAGTTTTCCACTTATTAGCTAACAAAATACGAGCCGCAGTTGTGGCATACAAAAATAGATTAACATCTTTCTTGGGCAATTCCGAACCTGTTATTCCAAGAAGAAAGGCCTCTGGTTTCTTTATAAATGTATATTTCAACATTTTTTTCAATTCATTATAAATCTTTTCCCAGAAGTCTTTCACCTTGGGGCAGGTCCACCACATATCAAAGAATGTTCCTTCCTTTTCTTTACATTTCCAACATGTATTATCACAATTATGATACATCTTTGCTAGTTTTACTGGAGTCAAATACCATCTATACATCATCTTCATAATATTTTCCTTTAACAAAGTACATGCGGTGAACTTCACCCCTTTCTTCCACAATCTTTCCCAGTCCTCAAACATTATATTATGTCCTAAATCTCTTGCCCAATCTATCATCACCGATTTAACTTGTTCATCTTTCGTATGCCACTCCAGCAAAAGCTTGTACATTTTAGATAGGTTTTTACCTTCAGTGTCTAACAACTCCGTCTCCAGCTTAGATTTTTCCAAGGCAAAACCATTTTTCTTATCCAGTTTATACAATTCGTTAATCTGGTGATAATGTAGCCAATTTAGCTTATCTTTAATTTGCTCAAATGGTCTTAATTTATAACCTTCCTCTTCCTCTATCAATAAGTCATAATATCTCAACCATTTGGTATCCATATTTAATTTTTCTGGGCCTTTGCCTCCATTGGTGAAAGCCATCTGGGCGTCTTTCTTTCTAAAAGGTCTTTGTATTTTATCCAAACATTATACAACGATTTCCTAATTATATGATTTTTAAATGCTTTATGGGCTTTTACTTTATCATACCACAAATATGCATGCCAATCAAACACATTATCAAATCCCTCCAAATCTAGTAAATCTGTATCTTCTAATTTCATCCATTCTTTAATCCAACAAAGTGCGGCAGCTTCAAAATAGATTTTTAAGTCTGGCAGAGAGAATCCCCCTCTTTCTTTGGAATCCGTAAGTAATTTGTATTTAATTCTGGGTTTCCTCCCCTGCCAGATAAATCTAGAAAGAGCTTTTTGCCATTCTTTAAAACATTTCACATTGTCTATAATTGGGAGGGCTTGAAACAAAAAAAGCATCTTTGGCAGCACATTCATCTTAAACACAGAAATCCAGCACATTAATGACAATTTTAAGTTAGACCATACCTCTAAATCTCTTTTAATTTCATTCCATATTTTCTCATAGTTATCCTTATACAGATTCAAATTTTTCCCAGACAGGTTCACCCCCAAATATTTAACTTTTTTCACAAAATCTAGGCCCATTTTTTCTTGTAATATTTTCCTTTCTTCATTATCCAGATTTTTCTCTATTACTTTGGTCTTGCTCTTGTTTAATTTAAATCCTGCTACCTGACCAAACTCATGTATTAGCTCCAGTGCTTTAACTGCACTGGAGTCTGGATCTTGTAATGTCAGAACCAAATCATCAGCAAAGGCTTTTAATTTGTATTGTTTCGAACCTACTGTAATACCTTTAACTTGTTCGTCTTTTCTAATCATACTTAGCAAGACCTCCAGTACAGAGATAAACAGCAGAGGGGACAGTGGGCATCCTTGCCTGGTTCCCTTCTCAATTCTAATTTCCTCTGAAACCACATTATTTACAATAATTTTAGCTTTTTGTTCTTGATAGATCGCTTTAATACCATTTATAAAATCATGACCTATCCCCATACTCTCTAAGTTATGTAACATAAAACTCCAAGAAACATTATCAAAGGCTTTCTCAGCATCGATAAACATTACTTTGCTTTACAACTCTTTCTTGCTTCTAACTTTTCCAATATATCCACAACATTTCTAATATTATCTTTCATATGTCTTCCAGGCAGAATTCCTGCCTGGTCTTTATGAATATACTCAGATAAAACCTTTCTTTAGCCTATTAGCCAGTATATTTGCAAAAAAATTATAATCCACATTAAGTAGGGAGATTGGTTTGTAGTTTTTTTACGTTGGATCTATCCTGACCCTGTATAAAAAGTGGTTTCTTTTGCTGAGTGGCTCTATTCTAGTGGCAGAAACATCACTATTTTCTTTTTTATATATAATTTTATTTATAAACGTTACAACAATTATTCAGCCATAATTCTAACATTTCAGACTTTGACTCCCTTCCCCCTCTTTCTGTGGTTTTTTACATTTATTTTCATCCTTTCCTGCATACTCCAAATTATCTTAACTTATTCTTCTAATCATCTATTCTCATATATATCTCAGATATGTTTTTGAAACTGCAGGTTTTTACAATAGTCCTGCCAATATCTTGATCTGTTTACAGTTTATTTGTAAATACTCAATAAACCATTTCCATTCCTTTCTAAAAAATTGTTATATTTCTTATTCATCCAGTAAGTTTTGTCATTTCTGCATACTCCATTAATTTCTGTAACCATTCTTCTCTCTTCAGGACCTTTTCTTCCTTCCATTTTTGGGCAAATAACATTCTTGCAATTGTGGTTGCATACATAAATTTCTATACTGTTTAGGTAGTTCTGATCCCATAATTCCCAAAAGAAAAGCTGCTGGGTTTTTCTACAAATGTTATCTTAAAAGGCTTTTTCAATTCATTATATATCATTTCCCAATAAGCTTTAACCTTATTACAAGACCACCACATATGGAAAAAGGTACCTTTTCCAACACTTACTCAATTTTTATTTATACATTTTTGCCAATCTACTAGGTGTTAGGTACCATTTATATAACATTTTCATATAATTTTTTCTTAAACCATAACATGCTGTAAGTTTTGTATCCGTATTCCATAATCGTTCCCAAGCTTCTATTTCTATGTTATGACCAATATCTATTGCCCAGTGTAACACTGAAGATTTCACTTGTTCATTCTTTGTCTCCTATTCCAATAACATTTTATACATCTTAGATATCACTTTAGCATAACAGATCTCTCTCTAGTTGTGATAGTTGTTCCCCAAACTCCTGCTTCATATCCTTTCTAAATACTTCATTCAAATGATGATATTGTAACCTTGTTGTTACCATCCCTGATAAATCCTTAAACTCTTATAATTTAAATTCTCCACCCTCCTCTCTTAGCAAATTTCAATAAATTCCATCATATTTTTCTTTTTCACCATTATGGCTTCCAAAGGTGAAAGCCAAAGTAGCGTTTTAGTATCCAATAAATGTTCTATTTATCCCATATTCTATACAAATTTTTCCTAATTATATGGTTGGCGAAACCTTTATGTATCTTTTCACACCACAAATAAGCATGCCAAAATGTTATCGTGACCTTCCAAATCTAAAATATGTGATTCTTCAATAACAACCATTCCTTCAACCAGCACAGACAAGATGCTTCATAATATAATCTCATATCCAGCAGGGAGAAACCTCTCTCTTTTGCATCTATCAGTATTTTATATTTTATTCTCAGTTTTTTCCCCTTGCCAGATATATTTAGAAATATCTTTTTGCCATTTGTTGAAACAATGTCTTGCCAATCAGCCGTATTGATTGAAACAAAAATAGCATCCTTGGTAATGCATTCATTTCTATGGTTGGCACTCTACCCAACAATGAAAGTTTCATTCTACCCCATATTTGCAAATTTATTTTAATATCCTCTCAAGTTTTCAAATAGTTATCTTTATACAAATTTATATTCTTTGCTGTTAACCATACACCTAAATATTTAGCCTTCTTTTCAATCTTTAGATCTGATATATTTTGTAGTTTATTTTTACTCTCATCATTCATGTTTTTAAGACCTGCTATTTCTCCATTTTTTAATCTCTTCTAGTGCTTTCAGAATTAACTCTATTGGTTCTTCTCCAGATACCACCATATTGTCTGCAAATGCTTTTAATTTATATTGTCTCTGTCCCACCCTTATTCCTTTAATTTCTTGATTACATCTTATTCTTTGCGCCAAAACTTCTAAAACTAATATAAACAATAAAGGTGACAGTGGGCAGCCTTGTCTAGTTCCTTTAGTTATTTTACAGTTGTTAGTCAATACATTATTTACTATCAGTTTTGCTGATTGTTCTGTATATATTGCCTTGACTCCTTTTATAAAAGTGTCTCTACAACTTATATATTCCAAAACTTTAAACATAAAGTCCCAGGAGACATTATCAAATGCTTTCTCTGTCTAAAAACATTAAGGTTGCTTGTTTTTCATTTCTCACTTTTAAAAATTCTGTTACATCAATTATATTTCTAATATTATCTTTCATTTGTCTTCCTGGCAAAAATCTGGCCTGATCTTGATGGATTTCCTTTTTTGATACAGCTTTCAGCCTAATTAACTAATATATCTGCAAAAAGTTTATAATTGTTATTCAACAAAGATATAGGCTGATAGTTCTTAACCAACTCTTAGGAATCAAAGTTATATATGCACTCTTCCTGAGTGCTGTGTACACACTCCCATTTACTATTCGCCCAGTGTGCTTCCATTGCTGGTTTGTGAAGCTGTGTACACATAATGTTAACCGCAATCCACATCTATCCCATAGTTTCTTGAGAATCACTGTGGTTTGCTGCATTTCCCACCAAACTAGCTACAATCTGATTTGATTCCATAAGCACATCCACACACACCCTTCTGCCCACTGATGTGGACAGACAGCGGGTGACTGGGAAACACATCAAATCATACTGATGTGTACAATAATTTATGAATGTGGTTTGAAATACAGCAGAAAAATATTTAAGCTGGCAATGTGTAGACAGTCATAGTCTTGCACGCTCTGTATATTTGATGATGCCCTGGTACCCTTCACAGAGTTCCACTAGGACATCTTGTCATATCTCAGCAGGAATGACAATTCAATTTCTACAAAGGACTAAGCCCTTTAAGTGTGAGTCTCGTTCCCCCAAAAGGGGTTTGAGCTCGGCTGGGATGCTCCTCTATTCATTTACGCCAGGCATGGCCAAACATCATCCCCGACCACTGGTCCGGATAGCTAGGGATGATGGGAGTTGTAGTCCCAAAACAACTGGAGGGCCAAGTTTGGCCATGCCTGATTTAAGCAGTGTAGTATGTTTGCCAGTTTTGGTAGAAATCTGTCTCAACACTGTACCATGCCCAATAAGCTTTTCAGCTCGACAATGGATTCTGGTGGGGTAATTCCTGAAATAGCTTTCACCTTCTTAAGAACAAGGCTCACACTATATTCATCTATGCAATAGCCCAGGTGCCCATTCTGTCCTACCAATTCCAGTGGTCCCCAGCCGCCCACCACTGGTCATAAATGGCGATTCCCTCAGCTTTTTCTTACACACTTACCTTTAGAAAATAGAAGTCAGGCAAGCGCCCCGTCACCATAGGTATTGACATGAATCACCCTGCCTCTTAATTACAATCCTGCAGTTGAGTTGGGTTCTTCTAGGATCTGTGTACAAGGCAACCTAGCCCAGGTGGTCCCCCAAAGACTAAACTGACATGTCACACTCTGGGATTGCAGAGGTGGGAGATTTTCTGTCTTTGGATCTCGGGGGCACCAATTTCCGAGTCATGCTGGTGAAAGTGGGTGAAGGTGAAGAAAAACAATGGAATGTGAAGACGAAGCACCAGATGTATTCCATACCGGAGGATGCCATGACGGGAACAGCGGAAATGGTGAGTCAGATGAGCAGGTGAAATCAACCAAGTTACGTATTGCATCGTGACTTGCAGGTGTTCAGGAGGAGGCTTGCCCTTGGGAAGGAGGGAGGCCACATTGTCAGAAGCAGAGGCAATGTAGTCCACTTGGCAAAATGTTGGACCTGGCCTGGACCTGAGTTCAAACCCTTTCAAATAATGACTCTCATTCTCAATTCAGAACCTTCCACAGAAGTCTCCAACTGTCCAGGACAATTGACATACTCTTTGTCTAAACCCAAACTGTGATCTTGCATTGCAAGACAAACTCAGTTGACTCCATTTTTATCTGATGAAGTGGGCTCTATTCCATGAATGCTTATGCCATGAGAAAAATGGTTAGACATAAAATGTTGGAGTCAGCGTAGCGCTGAACAGGTCATTCCACCGGCGCAAGGATTTCTCCTCGTGCAACACAATTATCACCCTCTCTCCTCCCTCTGCGGGCCCTCTAAATCCGCCCCTCCAGAGGAGATTTTGGGATGATACAAGGCACGCACAGGTGGAAGAGAGGGAGCAGACATATTGCTTCGCTTCCAATCAATGCATGCCTCATAGTTTTCTGGTGAAATCATGTTACTTTTTATGCCACAAACTTTCCAGGTTCCGTGTTTTCCCATTTTTGTTGCACTATAGCACAAGAGTGCCCAGGGGACAGCTGTGCAATGACATTGGGGAAGCCTTACAGAACAGCGAATAAAGCAGAATTATGTGTGAACAGTATAAACCCACCACTTACACACTATTATTGCATCAAAGACATGTTGCAGAGTGAGCGAAATTGACAGATTCATCCATCCTTCCATGTTCCTCCAGAACTGCTTGTGGAATGCTAAGGGAGATTGCTGAACGTTTTCCCTTCCTTTCCCCGCAAACAGCAATGGACTTTTTGTGTGTGTGTGTCTTTCTTCCCCAGCTCTTTGATTACATCTCAGAATGCATCTCCGACTTCCTAGACAAACATCAGATGAAACACAAAAAGCTACCTCTTGGCTTCACGTTTTCGTTCCCTGTTCGACACGAAGACCTCGACAAGGTGGGATTTGGGAAGGGGGTTCCCTTCTCAATGCTCTCTCTTTCTGCATGAGTTGTTCATTTGAGCCACTGAACCATGTATAATGGTAGCCTGATGAATGTAAGTAACATAACAAAATAGCACTTCCAGGCAGGGGGAATACTACAACTCCCATCAGCCCCAGGCAGCACTGTCCAAATGCACAGCAAACCAACAACTTTCCTGAATTTATAGCAGAAGCATCATGCAGAAAGATGTCACATGTGTCACTGATAGTCATGTACAATCATTCCAGATTCTGGAAGGGTGCTTTTCCATACCTGTCCATTGCTCCAGTTGTTATCCTGTTGCTTTCCACACATCAGTTAATGATTATTATTATTATATTATATATTATTATTATTATTATTATTATTATTATTATTATTACATCACATTGACCCAATGCAGGGATAATTTTTGCCAAAGAGATTTTGCTTATTTCAGGATGTTTCTTCTGATCCTTTAAATCTCTCGGTCTGCAGGGGATCCTATTGAACTGGACTAAAGGCTTCAAAGCATCAGGAGCTGAAGGGAACAACGTAGTTGGGCTTTTGAGAGATGCTATCAAACGGCGAGGGGTGAGATGAAAACTGTGTTGTGCTGTTCAGTTCATTATTTCTCCTCAGTTGCTTCGTAAGACTGTAAGAAGCTCCCTTATACCAGGTCAGTCTGTCTGTCCATCTGTCATCTAGCTCATGCAATGACTGGCAACATTTCAATAGAGTCTCTAGCACAGGTTCTTTCCCACCACATATTATCTGCTTCTTTTAACTTTGGGCTTATTCCAGACTTACATTTCCTCCATACTTTCTCAGCACAATCTGTGCTTTAAAGTTCTGTGTCCGAAAACTCTTTCTTGTTTTTTGCTCTGGAGCCTTCCCTGCAAAACCCGCTATTTACAGCTGAATCAAAGCTGATTCTGCTGAAAACCTGAATTGCTGTTTGTTGTTCTTCAGCTTTAGAGAGTGGGTTTTTGCAGGGAAAGCTCTGGGGCAAAAAGAAGAGCACTCAGACATGGGCTGGCAAAGTGCAGGCCTGTATGTGGAACGAGCAGGGCAAAAGTTAAGTGTGGAGAAGCCCCTAGCCAAAGGTGTCAGGTACAGGTGGCAATCATTTTGTGCAGGGTTTCCATTCCTGGCCCCTGGGTGTGTCAACAGAGTCTGCAAAAGCCCACCCAGCCCTGTTCTGCCCATTCACTCCTGTTCTGCCCTGCCCCTGTTCAGCCCTCCTCTGGGTACGAAAGATCCTGTGCATTGGCAGCCGTGCAACAATTGGATGTGTACAAAACGTTCGCCACTTGTCCTTAAAGGATTCACAGATTTGGGGAAGGGCCATGGCTCAGCGGTAGAACATCAGGTTCGATCCCTCACTTCTCTAAGTAAGGCTGAAAGAGAAAGTCCCCCTCCCCCCGGCTTGAAATCCTGGAGAGCTTCTGGCTGTCAGCGTTGACAATACTGAGCTTGATGGACCCCAAAAGCAGCTTCCTATGTTCCTATCCAAATTTGCATGTATCAATACTTCTGGGCAAGATGCAATGGCCAGTGCCTGGAGTCTCACCCGCATCATGTGCTGCAGTGTGCACAGCCACCCTTCCTTCCTTTCATGCGTTTTATCCACACACACAAACTACTTCCAGTTTCCCAAGAGTATTATGGCACTATAGTATTCCATGGTGAAGAGTTTTTGCATCTGTTGGGGATGCGAGTGGTGCTGTGGTCTAAACCACTGAGCCTCTTGGGCTTGCCGATCGGAAGGTCGGCAGTTCGAATCCCCGCAACGGGGTGAGCTCCCAGTGCTCTGTCCCAGCTCCTGCCAACCTAGCAGTTCGAAAGCACACCAGTGCAAGTAGATAAATAGGTACCGCTGTGGTGGGAAGGTAAACGGCATTTCTGTGCGCTCTGGTTTCTGTCATGGTGTTCTGTTGTGCCAGACAGAAGTGGTTAATCATGCTGGCCACATGACCTGGAAGCTGTCTGTGGTCAAACGCCGGCTCCCTCGGCCTGAAAAGCGAAATGAGCACTGCAACCCCATAGTCACCTTTGACTGGACTTGACCGTCCAGGGGTCCTTTACCTTTACCTTTTTACCTGTTCTATCTGTGCTTCTCTTAGTTGGGTTTCTTCTCCTGAACAGCCTTTAATTGCGGTGCTTCTTTCCACCCCTTGGTAGGACTTTGAGATGGACGTAGTCGCAATGGTCAATGACACAGTGGCAACGATGATATCCTGCTACTATGAGGATCACCAATGTGAAGTTGGCATGATAGTGGGTAGGTCACCTCTCCTTTTAATATGCACCTGGTCACAATCAGCTTCAAACTGGGGCTTTAATCCTTATTTCTATTTATTGGACATAGCTTTCTTATACAGGTCAGCCAATTTGTACAATCTAGCCCAGCATTGTGTATTATTACTGCTCACCAAGGTCTTAAGCAGAGGGTCTTCTTCATCACTTGCTACCTGATCCTTTCAATTGAAGCTACTGGGGGTTTAACCTGGGACCATCTGTATACAAAGCATCTGCTGTGTCTCTCGTGAAAGCCATTGTTTCTAACACTTGTGGGGGGACATGTCATGCTCTTTCTGGGATACTTGTCCACCTTTGGTCCCCACCCTGCACTCAGCCCTCACCTGTGGCTCCTAGAAGCTGTCAGAATGTGACAGTGACCACACCCCGGGAAACAGATTTGACTTGCCGGCTAAGCCAGGTGAGGGTAGGCAATGGGTCTCGGTGAGTTAGGGACTTCCCCTGCGTGTGAATGCAGGCTTCAGCAGATTGAGTGGACAAGATCAATAGTGGGCCCAATGGTCAAGAAGGCGGTTTCTGTACATGCTGTAGAGCAAAGTGAGGGGCAGATGGGACTTGTCAACCTGGTATGGCAGCCCATTTAGGAGAAGGAAAACTCTGATCCTAAACCTCCACTGCCTTGTGGGAATATCTTCAGGAGAAGAAAAGGCTAAGGAGTAAGCCCTACACAAATCCCAAGTGGAGTCCCTAAGACGGTTGGATGGCATATGCCTTCTTCTGGCAGCTCCTGCAGCCAAACTGGTATCAAATACATTGCTCTGCTTTCCTTTGGATCACATCAGCAAGACCGAGGGAGGTGGGGACTTGTCATCTGGGCAGCCCAGGACCTCCAGGCTTGCACTCTGGGGAGGTCACTTTGGTACTGCTAACACAGCAGTTTGACTTCACCCCCAACAACAACGTTGATAATGGCCTTAGATATCAGCAGACAGGCTAAAGCTGAAACAATGCATTGGCTATTGCCATTCTCAGCAGTCTTCACACCAGAGACGGATCTACTATAAAACTAATGAAGCTTAAGCTTCAAGAGCCCTGATTCCTGAGGGGGCCCAGAAGCAACTTTGGTCCACATTGCTTAAAAAAATCTGGGCCTGCCTAGTTGACCCAATTTGAGTGGCACGACAATTTGAGTGGCACGATGTTATATATATTTCAACAACCCCAAAGTTTGACAGATGTTGTAAAGGTGTGGTGATCTGTCACGGAACAACCCCACTGAAGAGGATAACAGTGGTTACCCAGACCTCATTGTTGGTTGCGAAGGGGGGCCCATGACAGTTCAAGTTTTGGGCCCCCAAAAATGTCGGTTCGCCACTGCTTCCCATTGGTGCATTATTGGTAATCATTAGATATATAGTTCTTGTCTCTTTAAATTCAAAGGAACTCTATCTATTGATCTATCAATTGTTTAATCAATCAATCAATCAATCAATCAATCAATCTGGCCAACCTATCTGTCTGTCTGTCTGTCTGTCTAACTATCTATCACGTAAAGTAAAGCAGGTGGGTCACAGCCAGACAACTAAAAACACTAATACTGGAATCAGATTCCACTAAAAGCCTGGCCAAAGAACCAGGAATTCAGTAGGCTTCTAAAGCTTAGTAGAGTAGATGCCAGTCATATCACATGGGGGAGTTCCAAAACCAGGGTGGCACCATTAAGAAGGCTACCCGCTGTGTTGCCATATTGTAGACCTCAATTAAAGATGGCACAGCCAAGAAAGTCTCCTTGGTGGATCTTAACAAATGGACAGGCCTATCCAGGACAAGGTATTGTCTCAGGTATCCCAACCTCAGGTAGTATAAGGCTTTGTAAGTCTCTGTACCTTGAAGCAGGTTCACTAGCATATAGTCAGCCAATGCAGTTCTTTCAGAATCAGTGTTATATGTTTGCAGTAGGCCACCCCATAGAGAAGCCTAAGCTTTCCAGCAAACTCCACTTGCTAGCCAGTCACGTGAAGTCATCTGATGTCACCTGTCAGTCATTATGTTCATTTGCGCCCTGAGACTTTCCTGCTGGAAAACTCACCATGAACAACAAGAAAGGTTGTTGTTGTTATGATGTTATTTATGACTTGCTTCTCATGAAGAATTTTGAAGTGATTTCACAGTACACACACACACACACACACACACACACACACACAGCAACTGCATATGTAAGAACTGTTAAAACAATTGCATATGAAGGTTGTGCCAGAGTTTCCTATATGACTCTCGTGCATTGTCCGAACGTGGTGAATTCTCTCTGTGTTTCCATTCTACCAGGCACAGGTTGCAACGCTTGCTACATGGAAGAGATGCAGAATGTAGAGCTTGTGGAAGGGGATGTAGGTCGGATGTGTGTAAACACCGAATGGGGAGCCTTTGGAGCATCAGGGGAGCTGGACGAGTTCCTCTTGGAGTATGATCGTGTGGTGGATGAGACCTCACTTAACCCCGGTCAGCAGCTGTAAGGAATATGACTGATAAAATTAATGTTTATTGCTTTATTGAGTTTCACACTTCTCATTGTGAATGAGACAGAGAGGATACCTTTGAGCGGTCATTAATGCTGAGGCACCCCCAACCTAGTACTCCCCAGATGTTGTCAGACTCCATCTCTCATTGCCTTCTCACAGCCGATGGTCAGAGGATGGGGGTTGGAATCCAAAACATCTGGAAGGCACCAGCAGGTTGGGGAAGGCTGGCCCAGCCCTATCAGCTCATGGATGGTTTGAAATCGGGGGGGAATATTCCCTATGGCGAACCTGATCTCTGTTCACACTAATTTTATAAGCAGATGTGGGAATTGGTTGGTGTGCGTGGAGAAACTCTAACAGTGGGAACATGATCTGAATCTAGGCATAGTGACTGCATTTCATCTATGGAGTTGCTTTCTGGTCTCTGTAGCATCCCAAAAGGCCTGAGTAAGGCATGTGTCACAGTTGTGGGATCCTCTGAGATGCAGCTGACTCATACTCTCCTGCACATATTTGCTGGCGAGAAAAATGTGCAGAGTCCAGCAAAGAGGGAGAGGTGGTTGTTTTTCCTGCAGCTCAGAGAAAATAGCATCTATTGCTGAACAATCACTCTTGATACCTGAGAGGGTTTTGCTAAAACAAGCTGCAATTATGTCATCTAACAAGTCCTGCCCCCAACCCCAAACGACATGTACCAGTGATTTAATATTCCCTTTCCCCAGGTATGAGAAGATCATAGGAGGAAAGTATATGGGAGAGATTGTACGGCTTGTGCTGCTAAAACTTGTCAATGAAAACTTGCTCTTCAATGGAGAAGCAACAGAGAAGCTAAAAACCAGAGGATCTTTTGAAACTCGCTTTATCTCACAAATTGAAAGGTAGTATGTTTCTTTAAGGTATTTCTTTTCTTTCTCTCTCTTTACCTGCCCAGGGTTGGTGTCAGGGTTAGGCATTGTAGGGCATTTCCAAAGCCCACACCGCCAACAAGGGACCCACTTCTGTTCTCTGGAGCCTCCTGGCCTTCTGCTTCTCTTCCCCGCTGCCTAATGGCCTAATTCAGTATCAGGCAGCTTCCTATATTCCTAAATATAGAATCAGAGTATGGTAGAGTTGGAAGGGACCCTGAGGGTCATCTAATCTGACCCCCTGCAATGCGAGAACCTCAACACACAGTCCCTAATCCAATTTGAAACTATACCATTATCTCCTCCCCCCAACCTCAGACCTTTGTCAAATGATGAGGAATTGCTAACAGAGCTCTCTTGGCGCTGTGGTGTAAACCACTGAGCCTCTTGGGCTTGCCGATCAGAAGGTCGGCGGTTCAAATCCGTGCGATGGTGTGAGCTCCTGTTGCTCTGTCCCAGCTCCTACCAGCCTAGCAGTTCGAAAGCACGCCAGTGCAAGTAGATAAATAGGTACCACTGCGGCCGGAAGGTAAATGGCGTTTCTGTGCGCTCTGGTTTCCATCATGGTGTTCCGTTGCGCCAGAAGCGGTTTAGTCCTGCTGGCCACATGACCGGGAAAGCTGTCTGTGGACAAACGCCGGCTCCTTTGGCCTGAAAGCGAGATGAGCGCCGCAACACCATAGTCGGCTTGGACTAGACTTAACCGTCCAGGGGTCCTTTACCTTTAGCTTTTACCTTGAAAGGGGCATTGTTCATGGTCGAGCATCTGCTTCCATGCAGAAGGTCCCAGGTTTAATCCCTGGCATCTTCAGGTACAGCCGCTTGAAAACTTGGAGAGCATCAACAATACCGAGCAACATGGACCCATGGCCCAACTCAATGTAAGGCAGCTTCTTATGTAAACTTCTTTTGAGGAATTCCACTACCATCCAGCGCAAGTAGTTCATCTCTTTAGTCTGAACATCCTCAGATGCTAGCACACAGTGGTTGCATTCCCACTGGTTGGAAAATTTAGAGTAGGAAAGGGCTGGCCAACATTAGGAGCCGCCTAGACTGTGCTGCCATTTAAGGCTAGCAGATCTGGGCAAACAACCCACCCTGGACATTAGGCATTGACTCACCTGGCCGGCTCTCATGGTTCCAATTATCTCGTCCAGGCTCTTGTGGGTCAGTTGGGGGAGTCAGCTGGAAGAAATCAAATGAGTAAAATTAACAAGGACAATAGTAAGGCCCTCAAAGAGTTCTGTTCCTGCTCTGTATGGACAGAACTGCTGCTCACATTCGGCTTCTACATTAAGAACATAGGGATATAGGAGAAGCCGGCTGGATCAGACCATTGGCCCATCTATTCCAGCATCCTGTTTTCACAGTGGCCAACCAAATGCCACAGGAAGACTGGAAGCACAACAGCGCTCTTCTCACTTTGGATTCCCAGCCACTGGAATTCAGAGGCATACTGCATCCAAGTGGCTAGGGCGTGGTGAAACCCATCCCATGGAGTAATATTCAAAACAACCTCCACTACAGTGGTTGTAACTTGTGCCCCACAAGCCCTTGCTCTTCTCCTGCTAGGAGGCAAACAAATTGCATTAGCACCTGGTCCACAGCCACCACATTCTCTCTCCCCCCCAGTCTTATGAAGCACAAATCAGTTATATGGGATGAAGCGCACAGGTTGGTTGTGGCCTCCTTCTTCTGGTTTTCCGTTGAGACCTGGGGCGATGAAACACGCCAGCCCCCTCCACGATGACAGTAGTGAGAGCCCTTGTACTTGTCGTTCCCAGTGATCCCGGTGACCGTAAGCAGATTTACAACATCTTGACATCCTTTGGGCTGTTGCCCTCTGTAACAGACTGTGACATTGTCCGTATGGCGTGCGAGAGCGTCTCTACGAGGGCTGCGCAGATGTGCTCAGCTGGGCTGGCCGGTGTCATTAACCGCATGAGAGACAGCAGGTGCGAGGACACGTTGAAGATCACAGTGGGCGTCGATGGCTCCGTCTACAAGCTCCACCCCAGGTGAGACCTACCTACAGTCTGGCTATATCATGAGGCTTCCAGGGAAGCCTGGGCCTTTCTGAACGATTCATCAGTAGATGTTTAACTATCAACACGCTTCTGAACGCTGGTGATTTAGCAGCGCACAGCCACTGCTGTTCTGCTTGAAAGTGGAAATGGAATAGCAGCTCTGGGGACATCCACAATGTACATTGAATGCACATGGCTCCTCCCTCCCCCAAGGACCCCAGGAGCTGCAGTTTGTTAAGAGTGCTGGGAATCGCATCTTTTTATAATTGTTATTAATTGGACTATATAGAATTTGGGATAACCCCTCAACATCTGCAACAATACAGAGTGGCGGCGTTGGTTTTGTCTGTGGGTGTGTTCTGCTGCATGCTGTTGCTGCCATAAAGTTGTGAATTAGTAGTGAATTTATACCAGGCCAACCAAGCATAATTCCACTTTGTTAGTGGTTCTGTGATGCATCCCTAGTTGCCATCTGGAGGAGCTCTCTCTGTAGCGCAACAAAAGCAGGACAACACACACATTGCCCGTTGTAAGAAAAGTTCCAGGATTTCAGCTGGAAGCTACAAGACATGCACCGAGTGGAAACAAAGCAGGACGTTTGTCTAGAAATGTTTGCAGGCGCAAACAATTTTGAAAATGAGATTGCGTGTAACAAGGGCTTTTTTCCAGCCGGAACTCACCAGAACTCAATAATAATAATAATAATAATAATAATAATAATAATAATTTATTATCTATACCCCATCCCATCTGGCTGGGTTTTCCCAGCCACTCTGAGCGGCTCCCAACAGAATATTATTAATAATAACAAAAAAAAATGATAAAACATCAAACATTAAAAACTTCCCTAAACAGGGCTGCCTTCAGATGCCTTCTAAAAGTCAGATAGTTGTTTATTTCCTTGACATCTGATGGGAGGGCATTCCCATTATAAGAGAATAAGGGAGGTGTTCCAACATCTCTTTTTCTGGAAAAATAGCAATGCGTATAACTGTCCCGGTACCATCATAAGCACAAAACATGATTAATGCTCAATTTAAGAAAATTCTGGAAGGGCCCATACGGTATAGGAATAGAATATTACGTGTATACGTGTCACTTAGACTCTGGTTGTTGCTTTTTCTAAGGAAAAGCAGTTTCAGTAGAGAATCCTGCCTGGGGAGCGGTTGGGGAAGGAAAAGAGCGCTTACCTCTTCCCCCACCTACTGTTTTTATGCTGCAACTCCCCTCGGCTGCTTCCCCTTTCATGGGGTTCCAGATGTCTGTTTACCTTTGCAAATTAATGTCTGACGCTGGACCTCTTGGCGGCAAGGATGGATTGGGGAAGAGGGAGACCCAGGAGAAAAGTGGAAGGCAGAGAAAAGGTCAGAGGTGCACCTGCATATAACATTTAGTTTGGCTTTTGTTCAGTCGATTTGAAGGGGGTCACCATAGACATCTGACAATGGCACCTCTGGCAGCGGGGTGGTAGAGCAATTTGCCTGTGTTTTTATTATTTGGCCTCATAAAATAGTATCGCTGTTCATTAAGCAGCCCCGTGCTGTGGCGGTAGCAAGCTTCACGCTGCTAGGCAGGAGGTAAGAGACAATAGCTGGAAGAGGAAACTCCCCGAGTCTGTGTTCAGAGTCCAGGCCGAAGCTGAAGTCTATGAACTGGGGTCTCGGACACACCATGAAGGGCACGTCCGCAAGCTGAGGCAGCTTTTGGCACTGTTCACTGAATGCCGAATTGAGCTAAACTGGAAACCTGGAAATAATTCCTGTTGTAGAAAGGGGCACAGCCCCTCACCACAATATCAGCATTGTTGAAACAGTCTGCATAACAAGTAGTTTAGTCAACTGACTGGTTGGATTAATAGAATATACATCTCTGTATCTTGTGATTTGTTGGGGGTATGGGAAACGGAACATAGCATCTGATTTGCATGTAGAAGGCCCCATGTTCTAGGTAGGGTTTCTAGATGACCTACGTATTGAGAATTCATCCTGATTTGCTTGAAGGCCGGTTAGATGTTGATGTGTCAAAGCGAGTGTTACCCCACACTTCGCCATCACTTTCCCTACCATGAAAAGTCCAACCTTTAGGGAAGATGATTTGTTGCATAAGACCATAAGTCAACTGCGATCGTGCAACCTGAATATGCTGGTGTGTGGTTGGATCCGGCTTGAAAACAGCAACAGTCTGGAAGCTCCTTGGAATCCCGGAGAACTGCTGTTAGTTAGCATAAACAATTCTGGCCGAGATAGACCAATGGTGTGACTCAGTTTAGGCAGTTCCTTGCGTCAGCTTGTTTCAACCTTGGGTCCCCAGATGTTGTTAGACTACATTTCCCATCAGCCTCAGCCAGCTTAGCCAATGGCCATGGATGATGGGAATTGTAGACTAATAACATGTAAGGACCCAAAGTTGAAGAACTCTGCCGTATGTTATTGCCTATACTATATGCTATTTGCAAAGGGGAAAAAGCAAAACTTAATTCCGTGCAGGCTCCACATCCCCAAAGAGCTGTGCAAAACTGCTTACTGTATTTATTATTCTATTTGTTTATTTAGCAACATCTACATCTGCTGAAGTACCAGTGCCTTGGTACCTGGCCTAGCATGTCAGGTGCTGATAGCAGGTCTGCTTGGCAGAGGACATTTAGAGATAGGTCTCTAGAGAAGGTCTCAATGTTCAGTAGAGTTGGGAGGGGATTTGATACATTTCGTATTTTAAGGTGAATTTACCAAATTTGCCCTTTCCGAAACATGATGTGAAGTGAAACCTAGCCATCTTTGGAAATGTTCTCTTGTCCGAAATTTACAGTGCAGTTCACCAACCAAGTAATGTGTACAATAGTGCAGCTAAAAGCGTGCGTATGAATGCGTTAGTGAAACATACATACAAAATGCATCATATTAGATTACAGTGCTTTGCCAAAATGTGTATATTAGGCAAAATTGCATATACAGTGTTACCTCTGGATGCGAACGGGATCTGTTCCAGAGCTCCGTTCGCATCCTAAGTAGAACGTAACACACGACTGCACGTCTGCACGTCTGCCCATGTGTGGGTTGAGTTTCACCGCTTCCGCGCATGCACGCGACGTCATTGTGAGCGTCTAAGCATGCACGAGTGGTGAAACCCGGAAGTAATGCGTTCTGTTACTTCCGGGTCGCCATGGAGCGCAACCCAAAAAGGCTTAACCTGAAGCGACTTCAACCCGAGGTATGACTGTACAGTGGTACCTCAGGTTAAGTACCATATTTTTCGTTCTATAGGGCGCACCAGCCCATAGGACGCACCTCGTTTTTTGGGGGGGGAAATGAATAAAAAAAATTATTCCCCCCCCTGCGGCTGCCGCCCCAAGCCTTGTGCACACCTGCAAGAAGCACGGGGCACCCTCCGGAGGGCTCCCCGTGCTTCGGGCGACAGGCTGCCGCCCCAAGCCTCGCGTGCTCGGTGGGACCTCCTGCCGGGTGCACAAGGCTTGCAGACACTCGCCCGAAGCACGGGGAGCCCTCCGGAGGGCTCCCCGTGCTTCGGGCGACAGGCTGCCGCCCCAAGCCTCGCGCGCTCGGCGGGACCTCCTGCCGGGCGCGCAAGGCTAGCAGACACTCGCCCGAAGCACGGGGAGCGAAAAATACGGTACTTCATTGGTTCCGGAGGTCTGTTCTTAACCTGAAGCACCACTTTAGCTAATGGGGCCTCCCGCTGCTGCCGCGCCGCCAGAGCACGATTTCTGTTCTCATCCCGAAGCAAAGTTCTTAACCTGAAGCACTATTTCTGGGTTAGCAGAGTCTGTAACCTTAAATGTATGTAACCTGAAGCGTCTGTAACCCGAGGTACCACTGTATATATGCACACTAAAATGCTGATAAATTTTCATGCGGACTTAAAAAACACCTGCTGTGGAGAAAAACGAGGAATGGAGTGAATCGGAAGTCAACGTATGTCCATTCCTAAAACCCAGACAGCTTTATGTAGAGAGGTGGATTTCCCTTCTCAATTTATCCCCTTGTCTTTCTCTCTCTCTTTTTTTACCCAGCTTCAAAGATCGGTTCCACGCAGCAGTCAGGCAACTTACACCGGACTGCGACATCACCTTCCTGCAGTCTGAGGAAGGCAGTGGCAGGGGAGCGGCTCTCATCTCGGCAGTCGCGTGCAAGATGGCGTGCATGATTGGCCAATGAAATGCCGCTGCGAAAGGACCGTGAAAGGGATGCCACCGACCTGGGAAGTGCCCCCTCCACCCACTGCCAGGCTGAGGTGTTTCAGGGTGTGCCAAGGAAGCAGAACCAGAAGACGGAAGGTTTTCCTGGGGGGGTGGGGAAGGGGGAGGGAATGGAGTGGTGTCGGGTTCCTCCGAACCTCTGCCTCTACACAACACAGTAACCATGCAAAAATAGTCTCTCCTTTCTGTCCTTAAAACCTTCTCCACTCCTGCAAGCTCTGGGGAGGGTTTCAATGTATGCATTAAGCAGCTTCTCATAGTACGGGGGGGGGGGCGTTTGGAGAGGTGGTGTTGCAGGGATGGGAAGTCAGGAAGGGAATAAGTTTTGCTTTCTTTCTTTTCTTCGTTGGACAGCTCAGGAAGCAGGGATCTGGGCAAAATGGCATCTAGTTGCAAAGTACGGTTTCTTCCTCAGTAAATGAGGTTGGGAAGGTGCAATTCAAGCTGCCGTTATCAGCCACTGATGATCATAGTTCAGAGAAGGCAACTTTGAGTAGACACATTCTCCAACCTTCTCCTCTGGTTTCCAAGACACTAATGGTTCCCATGCGAGTTTGTGAGTCAGCTTGAGCACAGACTGGGGTCCTCATCAGCAGAAGAGCCCAAGTGAAAAGTCAGGTTTTTCCTTTATTTCCGGCGCTTTCCACCTTCTCCAGATTTAGGCGTAAATCTAAGCTTGCAATCTGGTCCCAATACTATCGCCAGTCCAAACTGTCATATCCACAGAGACAGATATCCTGGACCATCTCTATGTCGTTGTTTTTTTTAAAAAAAGGATCAGTCACCATTAACATGGAGGGAGCTTGAGACTGAACAGGGCCCAAGAGACCAAGCAAAGGCCGTAAAGCATTTTATGACACTAGAGTTGTCTGCTTTGGTACAGTTCGCCTTGCCTGCATCCCACCCTTGTTTCAATAATTCTGGAAAGCAAGTAATATACAGACCACAAGTAATATACAGCAAGTAATAATATACAGCAGTTCCAAGGCTCTGCACACTGCAAAGGGATGTGTGTGATGCATAGCCAGATAGGTAAGCACTTGGGTCAAGGGGAAGTCAATTCTCTGGGACACTGCTTGTCCACCTGTGATGAGTCTACTAGTGTGCATGGGACATAGTGGGATGAAAACAGCCCCCTCTACCTGCAAGCATGTTAAACCTGCCACAGGGCGAAAGGTGAGTTGCAATTGCATGTGTGACTTGAAGTGGGAAAGTAACAGGCTTCAGTCTGGAAGCTCCTAAGATTTACTGAAGACGGGGCCATTCTGTTTTTAAAATATAATGTCTTGGGCATCCCTTAGCAACAACTACAGAAAGTTTGATCCCCCTGATTTCAGCTCGTACAGATGTTTGACCCAGATTATTTCTCCTCACTGTCATAATATTGTTTATTTCCCACTTTTTTTGGTTCTTTTTCCTCTGTCTCCTGCTATCCTGCTTATGGATCCAGGGGCCCTTTTATATTAAAAAATAATAAGAATAAAAAAATAAAAAAATCTTTTTAAACTTGCCCCTGTCGTATCTTTTTTTGTTTTTGTTTATCAAACCTTACACCTGTGTTACAGTGTGGAGTGGAGTACAAAGCAATGGCAATCCCATGCATATTTACTTGGATGTAAATTCCACTTTATTTGGTGGGTCTTACTCCCAGGAAAGTAAGAACAGGATTACACCAGTTGAGATTTGTAAAAGGAGGGGAGCTGTTCTAAGAGACTCCAATCCATTATATTATCCCACCCTCAGTATTCTACCCTGCCCAACAACAGCCAGTTATTATATTTGACTTTCCCCCTTTTCAGATCAAGACAAGCTGGTGACAACAAAGACCCAGTTTGGGGTTCTCTCCTTGCCTTGTTAGGTTCACCCCCGCTGATGTCCACACCATATAGCATTGCAAAACTGTACCTCTTCTAGCACAATGAAAACTGGAGGTTCTCCATACAGTCATTATGCAGTTGTATATGAGCAGAATAGTTCATTTATGACACTTCAATGCCAGCCTAACGTCAGGGTAGTGCACATGGATTTAACTCACAACCGTGGAAAGTAGCTTACCCTCAGGTAGGCAATGCTAACTTGTAATCACGCCTGAACCATCTTTAATGTTTTGAAAGATGGAGTTCCAAAGCAGTGGGGTCACCACTGAAAAGGCCATGTTCCAGGTACTCTCTAATCTTATAGGTCTTAAGAAAGCAGAATCTCAGGTGCTGATGTTAGTGAACAGGGAGGCTGGTCCCAAACCACACTGTATGGCTTTAAAAGCCTGCTGGAAATAGGGTATGAAAGCAATTAGGCTGTCAGTGCAGTTGGTACAAATTGGTGTAATTGGTCAGAAGGCCTGGCTGCCACAAGTGTTCTATTATATAACATATAAACCTGTCATGAAATGTGCCCATGAAATGGTGTCTGTATGCTGTTTTTCATTCTCCTCAGTAGAATACTACCTTTCTTGAGTTTTGAATTTTATCCAGCGCAGCTTGATCTAACGTCAGCAGTAGAATAAACTGTACCTAACAAGTATATTTCTGTGCAAATATACACACGTTAAAAGCCCCATTTCATCGCAAAGCAAACCTTCAAGGAGCATAAGCCAGTGGTAGAAACAGCCGCAGCAAATGTCTCCTGGTCCAAAAAGCACATTTCAAAAACGGCAATGCATTTTAATTTCAGTATTTTTGCAGCTGCTAAGTGCAGAAACTGCAGCATAAGCCCAGAATGTCCCATCTGGCCAGATATTCTCTCGGAGGCGGGTTTAGGGCAGCGTGACTGGTTCCCCCCCAACTAGGCGCAGAGCTGGGGGGGCACCGCAGAGCATCGCAACTATGGGAAAGCGCATGAGTAGAATGGAAGGTGAGAGACGGGTGCACTAAATTTTGGCCTTGCACGGGGTGCTGCTGAAATTTGAAAGTCTGCCCTTGATTCTCTGTAATGCTGGAGAACAAAACTGCAATTGTATTCTGCATGCAGTCTCCTCGAATTCAGTGGCATAAGAGTATCCAGAGTTCATGGTGTGTGGGAAAGGGTGTCCCACCCAGTGGCGGAGGAAGGGGGTGCAGTAGGTGTGGGCTGCCCCGGGTGTCACCACTGAGGGGGGTGACAAAATGCCGGGCGGCACCCACCGTGGGGCCTGCAGCGCACCCGAGCCATGCGTCTCTCCCGGGAGAGACGCGATGGCTTGGGTGAGCATGCCAGCTCCACCCTGCCCAAACGGTTTGCCCACTGCCTCCCCCCCAACTGTAGGGCGCTTGAGTGGGAGGAGGCAGGCAGACTCCAGAGGCCCTGTGGTGTGCCCTGCCCTATGGGTGGTGCGTCCTGCCTCTGGGCATCCTGCCCCAGATGTCTGAGCGGCTTCCTCCGCCACTGGTCCCACCCCCAAGCAGTCATGTTTTGGAAAAAGGAAGAGATGTCTGTAAGTGTGGTGAGGCCACAAGTGTGTAGCATGGGCCAGGCCAGGTAGTGAGCCAATTCCACAGGCAACAACCAACAGTCAAAAGGATCAGAAGCAGGTAACGTTGGCTGAGCACATACCATGCACCAATCTCAAAGAATCCTGGGATCTGTAGTTTACCCATCACACCCTTATCAAACTATAGTTCCATGGAATTCTTTTGGGGTGTTTCTGCTTTAAATATATGGCGTGCATGCAGCCATAATCCTAGAAAAGGAAGAGGTTGCTGGGCAACTTCAAGGTAGAACTTTGCACGCATAAGGTCTTAGGTTTGATCCCTTGGATCTCCAGGTAAGGCAGAAATGTCCCCTGTCTGAAGGTCTAGATCGGCCAGGGTTCTGACTAGGTTCCTATGTTGCTTATGTTCCTATGTGTATCTTTAAATCTGACTTGGGACTAGACAGCACGTCAAATTTATGTCGCCTAGAAATTCCTCTTTCAGGGGACAATTTTAAATGCCCCCTCTAATTATAAGGCAGCTTACGAAATAACATACAAAAATGCATTATATTAGGAAAAATTGCTTTGCAAAAATATGTCTGTTAGGCAAAATTGTATACACAAAATGTGTATATTAGAAATGTGAAGTAAAATGTTGGTGAATTTCCATGGGGGTTCCACCCCCTGCTGCCTTTTACTTGCAAACTGAAGCAGAAATAAGTACAGTGGTACCTCTGCTTACGTACTTAATTCATTCTGGAGGTCCGTTCTTAACCTGAAACTGTTCTTAACCTGAAGCACCACTTTAGCTAATGGGGCCTCCTGCTGCCACTGTGCTGCCGGAGCACAATTTCTGTTCTCATCTTGAAGCAAAGTTCTTAACCAGAGGTACTATTTCTGGGTTAGCGGAGTCTGTAACCTGAAGCGTATGTAACTTGAAGCATATGTAACCCGAGGTACCACTGTATAGAGAACTGAATTTAGGATTGGAAAAATGAGAAACTGAAATTGACAAGTTCCCTCATACCTAGCAAGGAAGGAGACAGAAAGAAAGCAAGGACCTAAAGGTCACATATATAGTCCTGTTTTAAATACAGGCCTAAATAATGGATAATCCTGGCACTACTGCAGAGAGAAGGAAGATGGGAGACTCCATTCAGAGTGGAACACTCATCTCAAGAATGCCTCCTCCCTCCATCAGCAAAGCCTACAATGCGCTATGACATCCAAACCTTATCAGTTCTCAGCACTGGGGACTGCCAAGTTTGGCTCTCTCCTCCTGCCACCGGGCTCCTGATTTAGCTCACCAAGTGATAAGCTGTGGGATATAGCCTGAGCCGACGCTTGACACCATCCAGAACTTCTCTGTTCTTCAGAAGGACATCCAGAATGGTGAGTACGCTCTGTCTCTCTGCTTTTGCATATATTCTTCATAGCACTGAGCTTTTGGATGAACACACATTAAGGTTGAACTGTTACCCTGTCCCACCGAGGAAGAAGGAGAAACTAAGCAAAGGGAGAAAGCAATGGTTCAGCCTGTATGCAGGCAATAGAGAGATGGAGAAAGGGTGTTGTCTGTGCGATGACTCGGAAGATCTAATACCCAAGGGATGGCGGCGAATATTGGCTCATGTTCAGAAGGATACAACTATGAAGAAACAGGAAATGGTACCTGTCCCTGGTAGCACCCAGTCCTGCTTGTGTCCTGTTTTGCCTGTCAGGGAAATATTGCAGGATGCTTGCTTTATAAAAATTACGTTAGTGTGTGCACACATCTGCCACAGATTTCTCCAGCTTTCAGTTCCCTCTCCCGGTTCTCTGAATGGGATTGTGGGTTAGATGGCTCTTCCCCAGGGATGGGGAATCTGTGGCACAATTTTGTCAGGCATGATGGGATCTGTAGTCCAACAACATCTGGAGATGTTTAGAACAGGTTTCCTCATTCTAAATAGTTGTCCACTGTTTATCCCTAAATACACACATGCCAGTGGACTGCTCTCCTTCATCCCCATTCCCTATAACACACTGATTGTTAGTGGCTGCCAAGATTGCAGTCCTAAACATGTTACTAGAAAGTAACCCTCCCTGAATCAGTTAGGATGTGCATCTGATTGTGATGTAAATGTGTTTTTGAATTGCAGCAGTTCCATAACACGACAACCTTATCCAGTGTGGCATTAAACCGTCCAGTGAACATATTCAAGTTTGTGTATGTGTTTTTTGTCAGCTTTGGAAGCCAGGGCAGGATAGGCTATGGCAGAGCAAATCTATCCAATGCTCAGCAGGTGAATAAAAAATTGAGATTGATATTCCTGCATTTCAGGGGGTTGAACTAGATAACCCTCGGGACATTGTCCAACTCTACAATTCAATGATTCAATAACCTGAGCCCACAACTAATCCCCTAGGGCAGAGCTTTCCAACCTTATCATGTCGGTGACACACTTTTTAGACGTGCATCATTTCGCGATGCAGTAATTCAGTTTTACCAGCAAACCGGAGGTTAAATAACCCCCGTTCCAGCCCTGGGAGGAGCGTTCGCACGACACACCTGCACACTGCAGCCGACACACTATCTAGAGTTGTAGCCAATGTCACATTAAGAAAACAGTTCTGTTTTCACAAGGATTTATGCTTGTGCAATGGAACTTTCCTCCCTTCCCTTCCCCACCCCCTAAATCTGTTCTGTGGGATCCCTCAATCCTCTGGAGCAGTTTTGGGAAGAGAGAGAGGGGGGAGAAGGTGGGGGAAGTTGTGCGAGTGTAAATCTTTGCACTAATGAAATGAGTGTGCTGGATCTTGTCTCTCCAGTCTGCTAGTTGGGCTAAGCATAATGAGTGCTGTGGTTTACGTCTTCCCAATGTGTCAGGTGTACTGACTGGTGCTGTTGTAACCTGTTACTTTTCTTCTTCTTTTTGTCGTTCAGGCCAGCAGAAAGGCCGGGACTCGGAGCAAAGCTGCCGCAAAGCATGCCCAGAGGAGCTCCTCCAATGTCTTCTCCATGTTTGAGCAGTCGCAGATCCAAGAGTTCAAGGAGGTGAGATGCTCAGGGGTTGTTTTCCTGTTCAGCCAAGGAAATGAGTTCCAAGCCTGAACTCAGCCTGTATCCAATGCAGTAAAATTGACAAAGGTGGACTCTGTGAGTCAGGTCTATTTTACCTGGCAGTGGGAATAAGTCTATGCTACCTGGTGGTGACTCTCTGAGGTTTCAGATGGGAGTCTGCCCCAGCTGCCAACCTGGAGAAGTCAGGGACTGAATCTAGGCTGTTGTTCTTCTTGCAAAGTTCTGCCATTGAGCCATCATGGCAAAGAGATGGAGTTCATATGTCTCTTTATGTCACCTCTGTACATGATCAGGGTTCTGAAATGCAAGAGGCAATTCAGTATGAGACCTGCAGACTAGGGATGGGAGAGAATGCAGTTCACTTTGCATTTAAAGGTGAACTTAATTCTTTCACACTTCCCTGAAAAGATATGCAAACTGAAGGGCAGCTATCCTTCAAAATTCTCACTGCTCTGGATTTTGCAGTGCCGATCTCCAGCCAAGTAATGGGAACCAAGATGCATATACTGGGGTGAGGTGCACATGAGAATGCATTTATTGGTGAAAATGACATACAGAAATGTGTTATGCTATGAGTAATTGCTTTAGGAAAATGTGCATATTGGGCAAAGTTGCATTTTGAAAAGTGTAAATTAGGAGAAATGTGCAATAAAATGCTGATGGTTTTTCAGGAGGGCTCTTTTTAGAAAGAAAGAAAGAAAGAAAGAAAGAAAGAAAGAAAGAAAGAGAAAGAAAGAAAGAAAGAAAGAAAGAAAGAAAGAAAGAAAATATTGCATACTGGTGTGGAAATGTAGAGAACTGAAATTAAGATAGAAAAAAAATGAGAAATTGAGAGAAACCGAAACGGACAGGTCTACCCATCCCTACCACAGTCACCCTCCAACTGTCCCTGTATAGACCTGTAAGGTCATGTGAATTTGGGGGACCTCTTCTCATGGCACAACACTCTACAATATACCACAGTGCAGTGAACTGAAAATGGGAATTTTCTGCTCCTGCTCCTGTATTGTAGACTACCAGGGACGCGGGTGGGGCTGTGGTCTAAACCATTCTTGGGCTTGCCTCTTGGGCTTGCCAATCAGAAGGTTGGCGGTTTGAATCCCCACGACGGAGTGAGCTCCCGTTGCTCTGTCCCAGATCCTGCCAATCTAGCAGTTCAAAAGCACACAAGTCCAAGTAGATAAATAGGTACCGCTGCAGCGGGAAGGTAAACAGTGTTTACGTGTGTTCTGGTTTCCATCACGGTGTTCTGTTGTGCCAGAAGCGGTTAAGTCATGCTGGCCACATGATCCAGAAAGCTGTCTATGGACAAACACCAGCTCTCTCGGCCTGAAAGCAAGATGAGCGCCGCAACCCCATTGTCACCTTGGACTGGACTTAACTGTCCAGGGGTCCTTTACCTTTTTACCTTTTACTGAAAACATTCCGTTTGCTGTACATAAAACAGCAGCCACCAGTTTCTTCAGATGCTTCAGACTTTCCCTTAAGGTTGCATCCTGTTTTTATTTGTTTGAATTCCTGTTTTTGTTTGTTTTTATATGCTAGAGATTATATAGAGATTGATTTTAAAAACAATTATTACATGCTTTAAATCAAGGATTTTATCCAATGCTAGTCAAATTCAGAGCAGACTCACTGAAATCAGTAGGTTTGAATAAGTTAGAGCTGTCATGTATTCTACTCATTGATCCAGAGCAGAAATCCAACGTATAGTTAGCAGAGTAAAAGCGTAAACACCTTTAAGTCAGCTGCACTCAGCTTCTCTGAAGGAATAACCCAAACATCGTGAACCTTCTGCTTGTTTCTTTCACACAGAGAAGCTTCCAGAACCCTCTTGAATTAATTAGAAAAGGAGAGATCTCTACACATTGGATCAATACTTTCTGTACTAAGAAATGCAAACTGACAAGAGCCATTAATTTAAATGGGTCTGTGCTGAGTAGAACTCAATTGAAGACAACCCAAATGAGAAATAACTCTTAGAGGGTAAACAGGAAAGTGATGTGAGGATGGGGAAGCCCAGCCAAGGTAGATTTTACATTTGAATTACAGGCTTATAACATGCAACCCCCAACTCTACTGGTTTGCATGTCTTGTGAAACAAGCAAGGGCTGCTCAACTAATGAAGCGCTATAATCACTTTTGCCCTTCGCTGGAGAGATAACAATGAGGAGTAGATGCAGGCAGGGGAATGGAAAATATTTGTGTGGGTGTGTATGTTCTTATTATAGTGGCAGAAAGGAATTAAACTTGAGAAATAGAGAGAGTAGATTTAACTTTCCTTATCTTTCCCCAAGGCATTCAGCTGCATTGACCAGAATCGTGATGGCATTATCAGCAAATCAGACTTGAAAGAGACATACGGTCAGCTGGGTGAGTGCCTCCGGTCACCATGAAATTGCACTCTTCAAAAGTTCAGATGATTTTTTAAAAAGAAAAATATTAAGCAACTAACTGGTACAAGGAAAAACAGTGCCAAATAGCCAGGCCTGGATTCAGAGTCTCTGCCAAAGAGAGATTATTGTAATCTTCATCTTTAAAACTGACAAAAGGTTAAGGTACCCATGACCATTAGGTCCAGTCGCAGACGACTCTGGGGTTGCGGCGCTCATCTCGCTCTATAGGCTGAGGGAGCCGGTGTTTGTCCGCAGACAGCTTCCAGGTCATGTGGCCAGCATGACTAAGCCGCTTCTGGCGAACCAGAGCAGCGCACGGAAACACCGTTTACCTTCCCGCCAGAGCAGTACCTATTTATCTACTTGCACTCTGAGGTGCTTTTGAACTGCTAGGTGGGCAGGAGCTGGGACTTAACAACAGGAGCTCACCCCATTGCGGGGATTCGAACCGCTGACCTTCTGATTGGCAAGCCCTAGGCTCTGTGGTTTAGACCACAGCGCCACCCGCATCCCTAAAAGTGACAAAGGAACATACAAAATGGGAGATGCCAGAGATTGATCCTGGCGCTTTTGGCATGCAAAGCTAGGGGGCTGATGGGAGTTGTAGTCCAAAACATCTGCAGGGCACTAGGTTGGCACTGCTTTAGGGAGAAGCAATTGCTATTTACTAAAAGCAACATTCACAACTGGAAAGAGCTGTAGCGCAGCGGTAGAGAATCTGCTTCACATGCAGAAGATTCCAGGTTCAATCCCCAGATGGGAGAGACTGTTGCCTGGAACTCTGGAGGGCTCCTGCCAGTTAGTACAGCAATATTGAGTGAGATAGACCAATAGTCTGACTCAATATAAGGCAGTTTCCTATGTCTAAAAATTCACAGTGACCTTTCTAATACCCACCTGCTTATCTTCAGAGCCTCTGAGGACTTGGTGCATGTTATTTCTGGAGCCATGAGCACTTCACGGTCCTTCATCTCTGGATGGTGTCATTTTTGATAAACAGCTTGTCACTTTCAGAAAGGGGTCTGCAGATCTCAGCTTTATTTCTAGTACACAGGGTGGTGGTATGAGCATCCTTCCTAACTTTGGAGAGCTCTTTTTCCCTCTTCTAGCACAGAAGGAGGAGGAGACGAGCTAAAAATGCCAGTGGCGAAGTTGTTTTAAGGGGAGACATGTATTCAAATGACATTATCACCAAAGCCAGAAACCCTGGGAAGTCTGTAGAATGTAGACCAGGGCTGATATGCTTCGCCAAATTTTGTGCGCAAAGGTGTGGGAGGGTGAGGATTCAAGAAGGAAATGGCAAAAATTATATGTCTCTACCACAGAGGACTTGCTGATCAGAAGGTCGGTGGTTTGAATCCCTGCAACGGGGTGAGCTCCCGTTGCTCGATCCCTGCTCCTGCCAACCTAGCAGTTTGAAAGCACGTCAAAGTGCAAGTAGATAATTAGATACCACTCTGGCGGGAAGGTAAATGGCGTTTCCGTGTGCTGCTCTGGTTCACCAGAAGTGGCTTAGTCATGCTGGCCACATGACCTGGAAGCTGTACGCCGGCTCCCTCGGCCAATAAAGCGAGATGAGTGCCGCAACCCCAGAGTCGGCCACGACTGGACCTAATGGTCAGGGGTCCCTTTACCATTACTTTACTATGCCCCTGTGGGCAGAGTCATATAGAACCAGCCACAGATGTTCTTTTGCACTGACAATTTTGTATCAGACAATTGGATCTAAGTACAGTACATTAATCAGTTGGCTGTTAGCAGGGAGTGGCACACAGGCGAATGTTAAGTACCTTTCCTTATGTTAACTCAGGGTGGGGATAAGGGGAAGATAGTAGCCAGGTCTCTGCAACATGCAATGAGGATTCATGAATGTTAGAAAACAGTATTTTAATTGTTAGTGGTTGGGCAAACCCAGCCAGATGGGCAGGGTATAAATAATAAAATTATTATTATTAATATATTGTTTGATGCAGATTTTGCTGTGTACCGAACCTTTCAGAATTCGTTCTATATGCCAATAAAGGTTTGCAATTGATATAGGTCTCTGAAGATTGAGGATGGACAAAAATTCCCCAGAACTTCCAGGTTAGGGGGTGTTTTGCTTATCTCAGAAATTAGACCTGTATTGTCCAACCTGGTGCAACGTCCACCATCTGTATTGAAAGAAGGGTTGCAGATAACTGCCCCAAGAACATCATGATCACAAATAGTCATGAATGAACAATAAACAGGATGTCTGGAAAGGTCCATGGATTTCACTACTAGGGCCTGCTTTTCTCTCTACAGGGAAAATAAATGTGAAGGAGGAAGAGCTGGATGAGATGCTAAAGGAAGGGAAAGGGCCAATTAACTTCACGGTCTTCTTAACACTCTTTGGGGAGAAATTGAATGGTAAGTTGGTGCTGCCATAGTCAAGGACCTTGCTCACTAACCCTCAGTCTTGCTCATTAACCCTCAATCCAGCTCTTGATTTGCACCCAACGCCCCTGAACATACTGCAATAAAAGGCCAAACAAAAAACAAAAAAACCCAAACAAAACTGATTTACCACTAGGGGCATTTCCTGCCACTATTTTCAGGAAGGATTCAATCACATGCCAGCAAATGGAGATTGCACAACTGAAGCTAATTTGAAGCTAATTTGAGAGCCAGTGTGGTGTAGTGGTTAAGAGTGGTAGACTCGTAATCTGGTGAACCGGGTTCGCGTCTCTGCTCCTCCACATGTAGCTGCTGGGTGACCTAGGGCTAGTCACACTTCTGTGAAGTCTCTTAGCCTCACTCACCTCACAGAGTGTTTGTTGTGAGGGAGGAAGGGAAAGGAGATTGTTAGCCGCTTTGAGACTCCTTCGGGTAGTGATAAAGCGGGATATCAAATCCAAACTCTTCTTCTTCTTCTTGTACAACAAACCTACTTTGCCCCTCAAAATTGGTTTGCGGCAAGGTAATTGGCAGGAAAATGCACTAGGAAGGGTCAGGTAATGATTTTTCAATGCAACATCATCTAGCTACCCCACAAACAAATTAGAATGAACACTTGATAAATTGTGGGTGTCCTCTGGCCTCCCCACAAACCCTGTGCAAAACAAATCAGGATGAATGCACAATATGCATGTCATACGGAAGGGGTGCTTAAAAAAGGGTGTTTGTTTGTTTATTGCATTTACATCCCACCTTTTTTCTCCAAGGAGCTCAAGTTGGCGTCCATGGTTCTCGCCCTCCTCATTAATCCCCACAACCACTTTATGAGGTGGGTTCAGCTGAGAGGCAGTGACAGACCCAAGATCGCCCAGTGAGCTTCAAGGCTGAGTGGAGATTTGAAACTTGGTCTCTCAAGTCCTAGTCTGACACTCTAACCATTACAGTGGTACCTCGGGTTACAGAGGCTTCAGGTTACAGACTCCGCTAACCCAGAAATAGTACCTCGGGTTAAGAACTTTGCTTCAGGATGAGAACAGAAATCACACAGTGGCGGCGCAGCAGCAGCGGGAGGCCCCATTAGCTAAAGTGGTGCTTCAGGTTAAGAACAGTTTCAGGTTAAGAACGGACCTCCAGAACGAATTAAGTTCTTAACCCAAGATACCACTGTACACCACACTGGCTTTGGGTAGGAATTGTCCATTCAAGCAGAGCCCTTGTGTCCAACATTCTCTGTCCAGTAGCACCAGGGCACTGTGCCAAACGGACAGGTGAGTTTAATGTTGCGATACAGTTGTGCTGGCAGAAACCTGTGCAACAGACCGTGCAAGAAAGTTACCAGCAACCTACTTACGCATTCTCTTGTGCAAAAACATTTTGCCGGTCACACCACTAAGTGACTTTAACTTAGGGTTATGTTGCATACAACCTCAATGGAAAATCATGACACAAGCATCTCCATACTGCAGGATGAACGTTGCTGTTACTTCCTGATGTTCACAAATATATTTAAGTGGTCAAGCGGGTGAGTCACAGAAGCCCCAGCATGGGTCTTTGGGACTGGCAAAAAGTTCTTGAGAAAAGGCAAAAGTGAATCCATTCCATTAGTCGGTTCCCTTAAGGCAGTGACGGCTAAACTTGGACCTCCGTTTTTGGGACTACAATTCCCATCATCCATGACCACTGGTCCTATTAGCTAGGGATGATGGGAGTTGTAGTCCCAAAACAGCTGAAGGGCCAAATTTGGCCATCATTGCCTTAAGGTGTAGGAGGCAGTTATTATACTTTTCTGTCCTTGCGCTCTCTCTCTCTCTCTCTCTCTCTCTCTCTCTCTCTCCATTGTTTGGTTTGGTTTTTGTTAACTTTCCATTTCCTCCCTGGAACGTCAAATCTTCCAGACTCCCTGCCCAACCAAAAGGGGGTCTTGCTCTTGGTTTGAGGATCTTTGCTGTATGTTGAGCAATCCTTCTCTTCCACAGGCACTGATCCCGAGGAATCCATCCTTGCTGCCTTCAAGTTATTTGACCCCAACGGAACTGGCTACGTGAACAAAGATGAGTAAGAACATTAACTACAGTTTAGATCCTGTAGTTCTGATCCCATGGGGCTCTGATTGGGTTAAGTCTGATCATTAGCATATGCGGCTCCGGGGTGCAAAAATCCACCCAGCGCCCCCAATTTTGGGGGGGGGGGCAGGTCAAAGTTATAGAGCCTTTTTTAGGGGGCAACTCAAAGTTGTTGAGCTAAGGAGGGGAACAGCGGAAACAGTGAAAAAATAAAAAGCAGCAGCGATAACTCCTGTCTTTTTGCGATTATGCGAAAATGAAATACACCACTAGGGGGCGCCGCGGGATACGTTGATTCTGCAGCTGTTCCGCAAAAGAGAATGGAAATGACCCATCGACCGCAATCACCCGGCTTGGGGGGGGGGGTGCGGTTAAGAGCTTAGGCAGCTTGCACCCCCGGGTAAAGACAGCCCTGGGTCTGATTGGCTTAATCAATGGTTGGGGTGAGAAAGCCATGGCTCATTGGAAGAACATCAGCTTTGCAGGCAGAAGGTCCCTGGTCCCATTCCTGGCATCTTCAGGTCAAACTGGGAGGAACCCTGGTCTGAACTCCTGGAGAGCTGCTGCCAGTCAGTGTAGGCACTACTGAGCTTGATAGTCCAATGGCCTGACTCATTATAAGGAAACCTCCTAGGATTTCTCCATACAAGCCTCAGCAGAGAAGACTTCAGGGAAGGTGCCATGGCTCATGGGTAGAGCAAGCAAAATTTCCCAGGTATCCCTAGGGCGGAGGGAGACCCGGAGAGCTGCTGCCAGTCAGTGCAGGCAATACTGGTCTGGTACAATGGTCTGGTACAGTATAAGGCAACTTTCTAGGTTCCTATTAGAGTTCTGGGTGGTGTGTTGGAACAGCACTGACTTTTTATTTCCAATTTGTTTTCCAGGTTTAAGCAACTCCTGATGACTCAGGCGGACAAGTTCTCTGCTGAGGAGGTGAGGCAACTCTTTCTGGTCTAGCACTAGTTAAAGCGTGCTTCTCGCCCTCCCTCTTTAAATCCCAATTTCCTCTTAGCAGGAATCTTTCACAAGCATCAAACCTAGGAGACAGCTTTAAATTGGTGTATTAATATGGCATAGGGATGCGGGTGGAGCTGTGGTCTAAACAACAGCCTCTTGGGCTTGCTGATCAGAAGGTCAGCAGTTCAAATCCCCACGACGAGGTGAGCTCCTGTTGCTCTGTCCCAGCTCCTGCCAACCTAGCAGTTCAAAAGCATGCCAGTGCAAGTAGATAAATAGGTACTGCTGTGGCAGGAAGGTAAACAGCATTTCTGTGCGCTCTGGTTTCTGAGTAAGATCAATTATTTGATTATTGCTGTAAACCGCCAAAATTTATTTTGTATAGTTAAAATTTTACCTGTATCTTCAGTACATTTTATTTTATTGCTACAGCTAGTGGTTGATGCAAATCAAGATTCTTCTGATCTGTTCTCTGATCAAAGGCCCTACCAGAGGGTCCCTGGTAGAGGCAGATTGAGGAGAACGTGACCAGTTAGGCTGCCCTGGATGTAGAGCCTCAAGGGCGCCACAACTATGATGTAGAATTAGAGACCCCAAGGTCTGCCTCTGTCCCTGGAGACAGGTGGCCACCATAGCTAATAGCCTTCCCTTTTTTTGCGGGAAATTCCCTTATTCCAGCTCCATTTCCCGCTGCTTCCTGCTGCTATCCCGGATTGTTAGATATCCTGTAGACTGCCCCCGGGACAGGTGAGGCTGCTGATCCCTTATTTTCAAATCTGAAAGTTGACAGCTATGGTGGCCACCTGGGGTTCTGAGGACTCATGAAACCATTGTCCTGATTCTTCTTGTGTTTGACAGGCAGTAAAACTCCACTGAAGTGTTGGACAGTCATTCCTAGCTACTAGTTTCCATGTATCCCATCAATCCCTCTCTTTCCTTAGCTGAGCCTTTTTATCTCAGCTTTCATAACGTCAACAATATTGCAGATCAAGGTATTCGTATAGCTGGATTGAGGGCCTTTATCAGAACCCCTTCTGCTGCTTTCAGATATCGCTTTCTGCTCGAGCAATGAGCAAACGATGAAAAATATTGTTCCCATTTAACGTAAGAAAAGTCTGCTGGCTCAGAGGTCCATCTCGTTTGGCATCCTGTTCTCACTGGCCAACCAGATGCCTAAAGAACAAGCACACAAACAGCACTCTGCTCACCTACAATTCCTAGCAACAGCTTTTCAGAGGCCTACTGCCTCTGACAGTGGAGGCAGAATTTCCAGTATTTTTATAAAGAAACTGTATTAGCAAGCTCTTAGCCACAACCATCTTGAAAGCAATATACATTTATTTAACTCCAAGATCGGTTCCCCCTTCCAATCTCATGACTCAAGGAGGTGGGGAAAACTATGACGACGGAGTCCCAAGGCTCGCAAGGCCGGGCAGGGACTGGTTGATTAGGCCAGCCAAACGCTGCCTTCTTACCCCCGTTTTGTGTTCCTTCTTCCCTAGGTAGAGCAAATGTTTGCGGTCGCTCCCATCGACGTGGCCGGAAACATCGACTACAAATCCTTGTGCTACATCATCACGCATGGTGATGAGAAGGAAGAATGAAGATCTGTGGGGAAATTGAAAGTTTGCGGCGGCAACTCCTGCTATATTTGAATAAAATGCCCGATGAGAAATGAAGGAAGCTGCGACTGTGAGTTCTGTCTGAATCAGGAGCAGCTGGTGTTGTGGGGCTGGACCACCCTCCCGATACCATTGTGATACCATTTATGGGGCAGAGAGGGTGGTAGTGGGTTTCAGGGCTGTGTACTAGCTGCAGCACTGCCCAGGTAAGCTACAGTGAGGCTCTGTCCCACCACACAGGGTACCATTCCTCTGAATACCAGAGGCTGGGAGCATGTATAGCTCAGTCGGTAAAGCATGAGACTCATAATCTTAGAGTCCTGGGTTTGAGCTACATGTTGCGGGGGGAGAAGATTCCTGCATTGCAGCGGTGGACTGACCCCTGTGATCCCTCCCATCTCTGTGAATCTATGTGTGCTACTCTGTTCATGTCCCCGGTTCCTATATAGCACTTCCAGGCAAAAAGAGCCAAGTGGCTAGCTTGAGTGGCAAAGCATTCGGCCTGGAAAATAAAGCCACAGGATGGGGAACCTGCGGCTTTCCAAATGTGGCTGGACTCCAGCTCCCATCAGCCCCAGGCAGCATGTCCAATGGTCCAGGTTGATGGGAGTTGGAGTCTAGCAGCATTTGGAGGGCGATTGGTTCCCATCCCTGCTTAATGAAAGATGTCAGCCTCTATGCCTGGCAGCAACTCCGCAGAAATGCCGCGCCTACAGAGCCCTGGGTTCTTGGTTCCAGCTGACACCATCAGGGCGCTGGAAGTTTGTGGGCCTGATGATTCTTCAGGGAGTGGGACCCATTGTCGGTTGATACCACTTTCTCATAGTGTGCAGAATTCAGCCATGATAAATACATGAGATGGGCTGGGCTCAGCAAAGCACTTTATTCATTGTGAAAGTCAAAGCAAGGGGAATCGGCTTAAACTAGTATATTCCAGTATATTGCTAAAATATACAAAAGTCGGCTTTATAATTGCATTAGGCAAAACAGTAGTATTTCGTCTCTTCCTTGTGCGACGATGCTCAGCAAGATTCAAACCCCTGGGCAAAGCAGAAATTCAGGGTGCCTAAGTTGCCTGTGGCACCCAAATTACCTTCCTCAGGGCTTATCCACACTTAACTTTTGCCCTGTTTTGCAGGAACAGGTCTGTGCTTCAAAGCTCCGAGTGCTCTTTAAAGCTGAAATGCAACAAACAGCAACTCAGGTTTTCAGCAAATTGCCATTTGCTCCGATTCAGCTTTTAAGAATGAGTTTTTGCAGAGAAAGCTCCAGAACAACAAAAGAGTACTTGGACCTGGAGCTTTAAAGTGCAGACCATGCCTGGAAAGCGCAGAGGAAAGGTAACTGTGGATAAGCCCTTAGTTCCAGCATTGCTTACTAAGTAATGTGGGCATTTCTGCTTTTCTTTGCAAATCGGAAGAGGGGGTCCCACATCTGTGAAGAAGTTGAAGCAGCAGCAGCAGCAGCAGCAGCAGCAGCAGCAGCAGCAGCAAAGTGAATATTTGCAAAGTCAGCCAATTCACCAGCTGCTTTCAATCTTTTCTTCCTCTGTAGAAAACAAAGCATGTGGTTAAAGCATGGAAACCACAACTAAGAGATGAAGCAAAATTGCCAGTGACAATTTGAAAGAGGATTGGATTAATTCATGGGGGAATATACAGCTATATGTATTATTATTATTAATTAAATTTGTATACTGCCCTTCATCTTTAGATTCCAGGGCGGTTCACAACAGAATACACAATGAAACAAAATACACAATGAAATAAAAGCAAAGCAAAACACCCCCTTCCCACAAACACATTTAAAAAGCCATAGAATGTTAATCGACGCTTGGTTGAAGAGAAAGGTTTTCGCCTGGCATCTAAAGATATAAAGGCGTCAGGTGAGCCTCCTCTGTAGTTACTAGTCATGCATGATAGCTACATATCCAAAGCTGCAGAGGGCTATTGAGCTCATCGCCAGCTTTTGGGAGTTTCCTAGGCATCTTGTCGGCCAGGGTGCAAAACGTATGCTGGACTCAATGTACCTTTGGTCTGATTCAGCTGGGTTCTTTTTATGTTTTGAAGATTTCTCGGTTAGAGAGCATCTTCCACCTTGCATTATCAACTCTCCCCCTGCTCCCCATTTCTTTTACTGGAATGCCTTCGAGCCACCAAAGATTTCTCAAGGCAGCCTTCTCTAGCCTGGTGCTCACCAGATGTTTTGGCTATCAGCTCCCACAATCGATGATCATTGGCCATGGGTTGTGACCCAGCAGCATCTAGGGGGCACCTAGTTTGAGAAGGTTGCCTTAAAGCATAATCTACCGGTCTTGTGTGAGTCTGTTTCCTCGCTTAAGATCCAGTGGGGCACTTCTGAAATTCTTATGTACTTCAGCAAGGGGGCTTTGGCCCTTGCAGCGGAGGCTAGTCTGTTACAGCAAATGGGGCACTGCCCCACCCACGGCAGCCTGAGGTCCACCTCCTGTCTTACTCGCAGCCAGTCCAGGAGGTGGCCCTGGCTGTCGGCTTTCTCCTCCTCAACCTAATTCTTGCCCCTTGTGGAATTTAGCAGGGAGGAGAATGGAGACAGCACTAGAATGATTTGGGTCTGTCTGTCATTGGCTCCAGCTCTGCCTACTGTTGGTCTGCCCTACTTGTTCCAGCGGGGACCACCCACCTTTGGCCCCTCCCATAATGAGATATGCCCTTCAAAAAATAAAAATAAAAACCTCAGGGGAAAAGAAGGCTGTCCATAAGGAATAATCCAGTGAGGAAAAGGGAAGGATAGAGTTTGTCTTGAATAAGGACAGGAAGTCACCAGAGCTGCTTTGAGGTTTTCTTTCTTAAAAATCAAGCAGCATATGAATTTTAATGAATGAATAAATGAAAATAATAAATAAAATAAATGCGCTGCTCTCACCTGGTAGTGCCCTCAAGCAATCCCTGCATACGTTCAGATCAATACAGATGTCCCGAGCCTTCAGGCCAGCCTGCAGATCTTGTCTGAGCTTTGATTTGAAAAGCCTCAAAAGCTTTTTGCAAGTCCCTCTCAGGAACCTGCCCACTACCCGACATACAGAAGCTATTGCGTCCTCGATTTTCTCCTGAAAGAAGAGTTGGGGAGTAAGAACAGTAACTTGGTGGCTCCATGCTCAAGATTCAAACAGATACAGCCTTTGTGTGTCTGCCAGAGTGGCCTTCCTCTGCTTTCCTCCCTCGTTTCTTCTCACACCAGCCACTGCTTGCATGCTACACCTACTGAAATTCCCTCTTCTACACACTTATTAAAGGTGTGCCTATTAAAGGCACAGGAGCCCTGACTTCTCTCGCACTCTATATTAATCTGAAGTGAGCAGGGAGCTGTATATTTTGCTATATTTGTTCATTTTCCTCCTTCTTTACCCTTTTTTTTTTTGGCTCCAAATAAAGTTGGTTGGAATATTGGCTGTCTTTAGCTGCATGTATTTAAAGCCCTCCCCGCAAAGAATCATGGGAACTGCAGTTTACCACTCTTAAGAGCTACAATTCCCAGGCCCTTTAACAAACTACAGTTCCCAGGATTCTTTTTGAGGGTGAGTGGGTTTTTAATGTATGGCGTGCTACACAGCCTTTGTGAAAAGTCTCACACAAGGAGTGAGGAACCTCAGGCCTAGGGGGCAAATACAAGCCCCCAGGCCTCTATTTGTCCCTCAGGACTTCCCTCAGGCCACCTCCAGGTGGGCTGGTTGAAATTGTGCCAGTCAAATCCAAAGCAAGGTGGAGAGCTAAAAAGCTCTTTCTGGCGTTGAGTCCATGTGGGGTTACCTGGCACGGGAAAAAACTTTTAAGCATTTGCCTTTCTTTCTGGACACAGCCTGCTCAATGCACTGGTCCTGGAATAATAATAATAATAATAATAATAATAATAATAATAATAATTTATACCCCACCCATCTGGCTGGTTTTCCCCAGCCACTCTGGGCGGCTTCCAACTGAGTATTAAAAACAATACAGCACCAGACATTAAAAACTTCCCTGAACAGAGCTGCCTTAAGATGTTTTCTGAATATCAGGTAGTTGTTTATCTCTTTGACATCTGATGGGAGGCATTCCACAGGGCGGGTGCCACTACCGAGAAGGCCCTCTGTCTGGTTCCCTGTAACCTCACTTCTCGCAGCGAGGGGACTGCCAGAAGGCCCTCGGAGCTGGACCTCAGTGTCTGGGCTGAATGATGGGGCTGGAGACGCTCCTTCTTGAAATCTCATGGGACAATTTGAGTTCCAGTGAGATTTCGCGTGAGCTTCCTTAGGCTTCCAGAGCCAGGGTGCCAAGAGGGCCTTGCTCGGCAAACAAGTCTAGGAGCTTGAAACTTGGTTTTTGCACCAGGTCCACTTGGGTTACTCAGTGTGAAAAGAGCTCTCCAGCTTCCTTGCTCAGCCCTGGGGGTGCTCTCTTCTTCTCCCTTGCTTAGCCATGGGGTGGCTCTAAAGGTTTAAGTATTCATTTAAGGGGCTTTTATGTGGTTCCCATTTACTATTATTTTTTGAAAGTTCATGTATTTGGTTTTTTCAGATTAAAGTTTTACAATCATATATCCAACATACAACATAAACACAAGATTCCAAAGAATCTCCTGGACTTCCCTCCTCCTCTTTGTGGGTCCTATTATTAATAATTTCCTCCTGCATCTTTTATAATACAGTCGTACCGTGGTTGTCAAACGCCCTGGAACTCGGACGTTTTGGCTCCCAAACTCCGCAAACCTGGAAGTGATTGTTCCAGTTTGCGAACGTTCTTTTGGAACCCGAACGTCCGACGGGGCTTCTGCGGCTTCAGATTGGCTGCAGGAGCTTCCTACAGCCAATCAGAAGCCGTGATTTGGTTTTGGAATGGACTTCTGGAACGGATTCTGTTTGACTTCCAAGGTACAACTGTAATCCAAATGTTTTACATCTCCGTTATGTCCAAAATTCACCATTAAACCATGTGGTTCCCAGTTATAATTCCCTCCAGGTAGCTTACAGGGCCAACTCTGCTTAGCCTCAGCAATGGAAATGCATGATATGTTTTCAGGCTAATCTCTGGGTGTCAATCACTTGTGGCAATTCAGTGGCTCTCTGCCCCCAGACCCAATATTCAGTATCAGCCGAGCAAATAAGTTCCAATAACATAGCAATTGGTAACTTACATCATCTGGATCATCTCCAGCCAGATCCTTGATTTTCTTGACAATCTTGGTGCAGACGAAGCATTTAATCAATGGGGCATCAGCCTTGTCCTCCTCCTCAAGTCCCTTCCACTGTCACAAACAAAGATATCAATGGCTTCAAAGTCAAAAATGAGGCTTTCAGGAAAGGACCAAGGCAATTTTTTGGGCAAATAGTGGGTGTAATAATGGGGCTCTCACTATAAGTGGTTCTTCCTGGCACAAGTACCTCCTTGGATGTCCAGCTTTTGTTGCTTTTTTTAAAAAAGAAATTATCTAACCTTCTACTCGGGAACTGTGCGCAGACTGTTTTCTACCAAGTTGTTCACCAATACAAGCAAATAATAAGTTGGCTACCAGCATTTATGTATTAAATCTTTGGCAATTATTCCCTCTCTCCCTTATGCACCACGCAGTATTTAGCTACGGGCCTGGAAGGTAATATTTAAAAGGAAAAGAAGAATGAGATAGTTAGTTAGTTCTCCCCAAATTATCCCATGGTAGTTCCTGACCTCTGTTTCAGTGTGGTCACATGGCTGATCCTAACTCCCAACTATAGATGAAGAATGTCTAGAGAAGTCCTTCTCGTCCTTGTTGTTATCATGCAGCTGCCCCCTAAGATATTGCTTCCCACCCTTTCTCATACATCTGGTTAATTTTGCTTAATTTGGGGTGGACTGATGCGGTTGTATTATATAACCCACCTGTAAATGTGGTGGAAGAGAGAGGGAAGAGGGCAGCTTTTCAGATGGATGTGGTTTTGCATTTCTGGCTCTCACCAACGGAGAACTCCACTCATGGATCCAGCAATATTCCTCCTTCTTGCATTCAGCAGCAGTAACTGCATCTTGGCACCAGAATTTGGGACCTTGCAGGCATGCACCAGGAGGACCCAGATCTATTCCAGCCAAGGCTTTGAAACAAAAGGGTAAGAGGTAAACTTGCACAGCATACAACCCAAGAGGATTTAGAAGGAAATCTAATATTATTTGTGCATGATTTAAATCAGGGGCTTCTCTATAAAATGTGGGGCGATGGGACCTTTCTGAGCTGATGGGCCTGATCGTTATCCCCCCCACCCCCCACCCATGAGTCAACTTTGATACCCGAAAGAGTACTCTTAGCTCTACCTAGGGATGAGGGAGAAACTCAGTACAGTTTGCATTTAAAGCCAAGCCTATCAAATTTGCACCTTCTGAAACAATGTGAACCAAAACACAGCCATCCTTTGAAATTCACACATATCTGATCTTTGCAGTGCAGTTCTCCAAGCAAAGGAAGTTTTACAAAAAATAAGTATGTTAGGGGGAGGTGTGCATACAAATCAATATATTAGTGAAATTAACATAGGAAAATGCATTCCATAATGAGAAACTGATCGCCAAAACACCTGAATTTTTTAAAAAATGGATTCTCAAATTGCTGAATCAATGTGAGAAACTGAATTTACGAATGGAAAAATGAGAAACAGAAAGGACCAAAACTGACAGAGCACTAACACACACGATATTGAGGCTGGTTTGAGCCCTGTAGGAAGCTGCCTTGTGCAATGTCAGATCATTGGAGTCCCATTCACACCATAATGTTTAAAGCTCTATGATACCACTTCCCTACAAAAATCTCTGGGAACTGTAGTTTGCTAAGAGCACTGTTAGGAGACCCTGTGTGTGAAGTTACCTCCAGATGGAAGAGTAGCAATAATGTTTGAGTCGTCTCCACTGTCGCTTGCTTTCATCAAGCTTATCACAGCTGTCTGCCTTTAACACAGCTTTCCCAAAACTGGTGGCCTCCATTTGTGTCGGACTATAACCCCCTTGAGGCTTAGCCGTCCATGTCAGTATTAACAGCACAGATCTGAACCCTCCATCCTCCTCTTTTGCTTTTCCCTGTTTTACTTTAATGAACAACTTTTCTGCAAACCTGGGATTTCCTGTGGTTCACAGAATTCCTCCTACTTTTGCAGGTGAAAGTTCTTAGCTCAGTGGTACAACATCTGCTTTGCCTATCAAAGGCCTGAAGTTCAAAATCCCCAGCATCTCTAATTAGAGCTGGGAGAGTCTAAAACCTAGTTGACATCAATCATTGTGGACAATATTGAACCAGAAGGACCAATGATTTGGTCCAGGGTAAGGCAGTTTCCCTTGTTCCTGTTTGTGAGTGGCCCTGTTTCACCGCTTCGCTGGTTGGCATGGGCCCACCAGGTTTTTTACTGGAAGGAACAATAGTCAAAGCTTGCCTGTAACTGCTTTTTGTCCTGGAAGAAGCAAAAACGCATCCCACAGCCCTCACATCTTACCTGCGCCTACAGCAACATTCAGGTACAAGATGAGCAACAAAGCCATTGCAGCTCAGGTGTCCAACTGCAGGGGGGAAGCCGGTCTCCCAACAAGTCTTTTAAAGCTCTTAAAAGTTATGGGGGGGTCCTGCCTGAGCCAATCAGAGTGTTTGAAAATCAAAAGCAGAACTTAAAAGGACATGCCACTCGCTGACCAGGATGCGAGGCTTTGGCCGACCCCCACCCCTTTCCCAAAACGTCATGGATTTGAGAAAAGTGGTTGACAGCTACGAAGCGTGAACAAGCATTGTTCGAACAGACTAAAAACAAAACCAAAACCACCCTCAGAAACCAAATGCCACAGGATGCGACAAATAGGTATTCAAACCACATCTCAAAATGTGAAGAATTAATTTTATCTGAAGGAAAAGAGGCAACTCTCATGAAAATTTGCCTTCAAGCAGTAGTCAGACCATTGGTCTCTCTGACGGGCAGTTGTTCTTGAGGGCTTCAGACAAGGCCCTTTCCAACCCTACTTGGAGCTATTGGGGATTGAATTTGGAACTGTCTACATGCAGGGCATGTGTTCTGTGTGGGATAAAATTCCCTGTGGGAGTTCAATACGGAGGCTCAGATCTATTAATCAGACTTATGTTCAGCAATGCATTACAGGTTGGCGTTTGTGAGAGCTTTCCATTATGATACATGCTTTATAGGAAGGAATGTGTCATCTGGCCTGTTGTACCTTCTTCCCAATGATCTTGTTGTTATTATTATTATTATTATTATTATTAATTTAATTTCTATACTGCTTTATATTTTTAAGGGGGTGGGGAATCTCAAGGCGGTTTACAACCGACATTAAAACAGCAAATAACACAATTCAGAATAAAACATTACAGAAGAAAGTTGAATATAAAGTATACAGATGAAACTCGGAAAATTAGAATATCGTGGAAAAGTTCATTTATTTCAGTAATTCAACTTAAAAGGTGAAACTAATATATGAGATTGACATACAAAGCGATATATGTCAAGCCTTTATTTGTTATAATTTGTTATAATTGTGATGATTATGGGGTACAGCTGATAAAACCCCCAAATTAACAATCTCAGAAAATTAGAATATTGTGAAAAGGTGCAGTAGCTATTCAATCCATAACACCTGCAATGGGTTCAGTAGGAAGCACAATCATGGGGAAGGCTGCTGACCTGACAGTTGTGCAGAAAGCCATCACCGAGACCCTCCATAAGGAGGGAAAGCCTCAAACGGTAATTGCGGAAGAAGTTGAATGTTCCCAAAGTGCTGTATCGAAGCACATTAATGGAAAGGGAATGTGCAGAAGGGAAAAGTGTGGAAGAAAAAGGTGCACAAGCAGCAGGTATGACTGCAGCCTGGAGAGAATTGTCAGGAAAAGACCATTCAAACGTGTTGGGAACTTTCACAAGGAGTGGACTGAGGCTGGAGTTAGTGCATCAAGAGCCACCACACACAGACGGATCCTGGAGATGGGCTTCAAATGTTGTATTCCTCTTGTCAAGCTGCTCCTGAACAAGAAACAACATCAGAAGAATCTTGCCTAGGCTAAAGGGGAAAAAAAGAACTGGTCTGTTGCTCAGTGGTCCCAAGTCCTCTTTTCTGATGAGAGCAACTTTTACATCTCATTTGGAAACCAAGAACCCAGAGTCTGGAGGAAGAATGGGGAGGCACACAATGCCAGATGCTTGAAGTCCAGTGTGAAGTGTTGATTTGGGGAGCCATGCCATCAGCTGGTGTTGGTCCACTGTGTTTCATTAAGTCCAGGGTCAACGCAGCTGTCTACCAGGAGATTTTGGAGCACTTCATGCTTCCTTCCGCAGACGAGCTTTATGGGGATGCTGATTTCATTTTCCATCAGGACTTTGGCACCTGCCAATACTGTCAAAAGTACCAAAACCTGGTTCAATGCCCATGGGATTACTGTGCTTGATTGGCCAGCAAACTTACCTGACCTGAACCCCATAGAGAATCTATGGGGCATTGCCAAGAGAAAGATGAGAGACATGAGACCGAGCAATGCAGAAGAGCTGAAGGCTGCTACTGAAGCATCCTGGTCTTCCATAACACCTCAGCAGTGCCACAGGCTGATAGCATCCATGCCACGCCACATTGAGGCAGTAATTGATGCAAAAGAGGCCCAAACCAAGTACTGAGTACATATGCATGCTTCTACTTCTCAGAGGTCCAATATTGCTCTATTTGCAGTCCTTGTTTTGCTGATTTCATTTAACATTCTAATTTTCTGAGATTGTTAATTTGGGGTTTTCATCAGCTGTACACCATGATCATCACAATTATAACAAATAAAGGCTTGACATATCTTGCTTTGCATGTCATGAGTCTATCTCATATATTAGTTTCACCTTTTAAGTTGAATTACTGAAATAAACGAACTTTTCCACGATATTCTAATTTTCCTAGTTTCACCTGTACATTTGAATACAATCAATATTCATTCAAACACAATTAACAGGAAACTAAAATATTATCCTAAACATTTTTTTAAAAAAAACACACTACATAGGAGGTCAACACGTTTAGCAGAGCAAAATTAACACAAAAATTATCTGAACAAAATCTTCTTATCTACCCACCACATCACTTTGGAACAGTCATTTATCTACCCACCCTCCAACCACATTTCTTTGAAACAGACACCCAGCCCAAGCTTCTTCCTCTGTATTTTCAGAGACCTCTGCATCTTATCCGGTGCTGTTTTTAACTTCAGCATTCAGCTAGGCCCCTCCAAAACTAGGTCTTCCTCATTTTGGGGCCAGGCCATATCCTTATATATGTAAAACTTTCCTTGTTGATAATAGATTTCTACCTCATTTGCCACTGAGCTATAGTGGTGGAGAAAGCCCCTGGTATTTTGAGTTTTTGTCAAGTCTGCTTGAATGACACATATGGAAATTATAACGGGTTGGATCCAGATTTAGGCTGTAATCCTAGCTTTACTTACTTGGAAGCGAGACCCAGTGAAGTCAGTAGGACTTACTTCTGAGGAGACATGGAGTTGGGTGGAATGCTAGTTCTACCCAGAGTAAACCCACTGGAGATCAAGGCCATGACTTACTTATCATAGTTTCATTAATTTCAGTGGGTCTACTTTGAGTAGAACTTAGCTGGCTTCTGTCTATTGTTAGGAGTGGATTGTAGGTAAGTTAAACTAAACTCCCACTGAAGTTAATGGGACTTAAGTAATGACTAATTTGTTCCATTGATTTCAGTGGGAACTAAGTTCAACTAACATAGTCTGGACCCAATCCAGTGTGTCTTCCAGGTATACATATCACTGCTCCCACAAGTAGCATGAAGAAACCTTCCACATGTTGTTTCCAGGATGTTAGAATTCTGACTCCAAGCGCCAATGAATTACACGGTTGTAATGAGCATACATTTGTGACTGTGGGGTAGTTTAGCCTGGCCAAAGGATGCATTTGTGGCAATGGCAGCTTGCCTTGAAAAATAACCTTTGGAGATGTCATGCACCCAGAGCCAGGCAGCAGTCAAGACACAAAATCAGAGACTGCAGACTTTCCACCCAAGGATCCAGACCAGGGGTAGTGTCAGGGACAGGGCAGAGGGCAGCTTGACCCTTTCAGGGAGGGGAGGAAGAGGAAGACAGTTTAGATTTACAACAGGGGTTTGAGGGAGGTCACAGCTCAGAGGCTGATGAGGGGGAAAGTTGGGAAATAATGGGAGAGGAGGACGAGGAGGAAGCACAAGGGGGGCGACAGCTGATGGACACTGTGTCTTTAGATAGCATTCCAGACGCCCCCTCTCCTAGAACCCGGCGAGCCTTGGAAGTAGGAGAGCAAAGAGCTCAAAGACAGAGGGCACATAGCAGCACCCATAGGATAAACAATGAGAATGAAGAATGAAGAAGTGGGAGAGACGGGGGGTGGAGATTCACTCGGGACAACGTCTTTATCCAAGAGGCTGGGTTCTTGAGCCTCTCTCTGTAAATACTGAATAAAAAGAGTCCGGTAAGAAACATTCCCTTGTCTTTGTATGCTCCTGGGCAAGCAGCCGGGAGTCGCTGGCAGCAGCCTGACACGTAGGACTTTAAGTCTGCTGCAGAAAATCAAGAAACTGAGGCTGAGGAACTTGAGCCCCCAGGAGAATCTCCTGTAACCATAGGGTCAAAGCCTGCATTGTGGCACTTTGCCCTGAAGAACCAAATGCCTCCAGCAGGAACTCAGTGGTCCAGGGAACACACCAGGTGGGAAGCTAGGGAACAGTCTGTCTGTCTTCTGGCCAAAGGATCGGCCATTTTAGAAGTTAGTTAGCCACAAGGCTTTTGGAGCTTGAGAGAGGTGGTCAGAGAACAGAAGCATTAAAAGGCCCAGTCTATGCTTACCCTTTTTGTTGGAACAAGTTTCTCATTTGGTGCTATCCATGGTCCTGCAACTTCTGATAAGTCTTCTCTGCTCCTCGAGATCTGGTATTGGATCAGAACAGATTATGACAGCTTTGCTACTACCATGGCAGGGAGTGATACAGATAAGCTCCCCTTCCCATGCTCCATCCTTCTGAAGCTTCCTTGCTGCTGCTATTTACAAAATAAAATAAAATAAAAATTTCAGAATAATCGAATTCACACAGAAGGCCCTGAATTTATATTTATAGCCTGAATTTAATTTTGTGATTTTTGCATACGGTTGGCACAACTGACATTATATAAACTTTACATAATGGTTTGTGCATTGATATGAGAAGTGTGAAGTAGATGGCTTTTCATTAAAATGCAAACAAAATTGAATTCTGGATACTTGTCTGGCTATTTGGAGAGATTGTATTCACTTACATGTTTAGCTTAAGATGTATGCACACGTCGTTATAGAATCCATGCACCGATGGTGTATGAACTGCACCACAGCAGCAGATGGCAGTAGCTTCTATGAATTTAATATTATATATAGATTTAAACTCAACCCAGCATTAGCTTCATGTGCAAAAAATGTCTTTTTCAGATGCAATCTCCTGCCTTGTAATAAAGAATGTGTTAAAATACTTACTGCCGGTTCAAATGAAAAGTGTTCTCTTGCCAAGTTTGAAATTCCTCCCCCCCCCCCCCCCCACTTTCCAGCACAGCTTGTGCAATCTTTGCCAAAATATCTTTATGGAAAGCTTTTCCTCATGATATCTCTCTTTCCAAACCGCACTACTACGTTGCATATGCTCCAATTGTTCCCATTTCCTGGAGTCAGTCCCTGGTACATAGCTGTCCATAATTTCTTTGGGAGTTCTGAGGATGCTTCATTTACTGTAGATACTGGTGATGTAAGTCACTGGTTTTGTCTTTCTTCTGGGATCCATTGCCAGCATCCCTGGAAGTTAAATTTGAATGGGGATTGGGTGCCCCCTGCCCCTCACGCACATATAAATGCATGTGCATAAATGCTAAGGGCACAATCCTAACCTCAGCCAGATTTCCCCAGCAAAGTTTAACAGTGCCCAGCATTATTTGAGGTGGAAAATATGCTTTAAATGTGCTTTACAGGTATAGTGTGTGTGCAACTTGATGACCACCCACCACAAAAATGCATAAAATTGCATGTTCTAATGTATATGTATGCATGCAGTTTTACAAAATAATAATAATAATTTAACTAGAAATATAATACATCTTACAGCAGTGGAAAAAGCAGCAGATGACCTGTGCATCTACCAACAGTGGCTTGCTGGATAAGGTGGCATCGCCCTCCTGATACAGGTGTTGCTGTGAGGTGGCACAGAGGCAGGGTGATGGTGAGGCTTGGGCTGTATGGGACCTCCAGATCGACTCCACTGGTGTGCCTGTAGAGCTGCCCCCCTGCTCTATCCTATCCAGGTAAGCTGCAGCTAAGCTCGTACCAGGAGGGCAGCTCTGCCCCACCACATGGGCCATTCTAGGGCTCACTTAATCTGCTGGGCAGACCTGATGGCACTTCCAGCAGAGGACTCTTATTATATTACTTGTTTTGTGAATTTGTTGTGTGCCTAGTTTGTATACTGTTGTGCTTCTGATAAGATTATAATGATTGTAGTTTGTAATGTTGTTATTATCTATGAACCACTCTGAGATCAACGTGGTTGGAAAAGCGGGACAGAAATACGAAATCAATTAAATTCAAAATGGAAGGCTGGCTTCTGTAAAAAAGGGCACATCATGGTCACTCAATAGCTATCTCCTATCTACCAGGACAGGTTTCGGAAAATTGGGTCCATCCCTGGAAAGCAGGAACATATGGGACTACACTGCAAGGGATCACTCAGTCTCAGTTTCTCTGTGTGTCTCATTCCCCACCCAACCTGCACTGTGGAGATATTAACACTGTACTACATTGCAGGGTCATTGTAGAACACAGCTTTCAAATGCAAAGCGGAGATAATATCATTGGGACTATATTGCAGGGTGTTTGTAGGCCAGTGTCTTGTTAGCCGCTTTGAGACTCCTTAAAGGTAAAGGTAAAGGGCCCCCTGACCATTAGCTCCAGTCGTGACCGACTCTGGGGTTGCGGCGCTCATCTCGCTTTATTGGCCGAGGGAGCCGGAGTACAGCTTCTGGGTCATGTGGCCAGCATGATTAAGTCGCTTCTGGTGAACCAGAGCAGCGCATGGAAACGCCGTTTACCTTCCTGCCGTAGTGGTAAATATTGATCTACTTGTACTTTGACATGCTTTCGAACTGCTAGGTTGGCAGGAGCAGGGACCGAGCAACAGGAGCTCACCCCGTCGCAGGAATTTGAACTGCCGACCTTCTGATCGGCAAGTCCTAGGCTCTGTGGTTTAATCCACAGTGCCACCCGCATCCCGTGTGTGTGTGTGTGTGTGTGTGTGTGTATATCCTCAGACTGCAGGAAAGATTCACACTGATTTTGAAAAGGGATTCATTATAGCTGAAGTAATGAAATTTGAAGATTTTAAAGAAGGAGGCTCAGAATCAGCTGTCCAAGTCTGCTGGGAAATACAGAAAGCAAGGCAGAAATTACATCGTTGAAGATGGAGATGTTATCTTCTTTAACACACCTCAACAGTGTAAGAAGAAATGAATATTAGATCTGTTCATTACTCAAAATTAAACTCTTGTTACTTTAAATAATAATAATAATAATAATAATAATAATAAAATTTTCTGTTTTACAATTTAAAGTACTCATTTATACATCCTTAAGCTATCAATGACTTCCCTTCTCTTTCCATGGTTCATTTTACATATCACAAATCCCTGCACATTTTACAGAAACTATACCGTTCCGTATTCCATTATTATTGCATCCACCAAAGCCTATTTACACTGTCGAATTTATCATAACGCTGGAGCTTTTCTAGCTCAGATGTTCTGACCGCAGCTCTTTGCATGCAGGCATTACGACTCTGGCCATTTTATATAGCGAATTCTCATTTCGGTGGCTGCTGCTTTCGAAGTCTACGGGGGAAGGGAAACAGCGGCGCTCTCGCGCGTCACTTCCGGCCGGCGTCCCTCGGGTTTGGCGCGCTTTCTTCCCGGGGTTCCCCCCGCCAATCCCTCTGGAGGCGGGAGATGCCTTCGCCGCTCGCCCGGTGCAGCGCCGGACTCCCGCCTTGGCAGAGGTGACTCCCGTTTTCCCCCGAGGGAAGAGGAGGGCTTGGCTTCGCGGGGCGGCGGGCGGGCGGGCGGGCGGGGAGACGCTTGGCTCCGGGGCCCGGGCGGACTCGGGGCGGCCAGGAGGGTCGCCTCGGAGCGGCAGCTGGTCGGCTTGAGCGGCTGCCCCTGCTGGGCACGAACGGGCAGCAATCCCGCCGGGGAAGCCTTGTGGGAACCGGGCAAAGGCGGGCAGGATGCTGCCTGTCGTGTGTGTCGCGTGTGCGTGTGGCTGCAGGGACTTTGCAGGTGGAGGTTTCATATATATAGGTTCACACACACATAAGTATATATTTATATAAGTTTCACACACGTATATATTTATGTTTCACACACACACATATATTTATATAAGTTTCACACACATGCACACACGTATGTATATATATGTTTCTCACACACACATGCATATATTTATATAAGTTTCACACACACACATATATATTTATGTTTCACACACACACACACACACACACACATATATTTATATAAGTTTCACACACATGCACACACATATGTATATATATAAGTTTCACACACACATGCATATCTTTATATAAGTTTCACACACACACGTATATATTTATGTTTCACACACACACACACACACACATATATTTATATAAGTTTCACACACATGCACACACATATGTATATATATAAGTTTCACACACACACACGTATATATTTATGTTTCACACACACACCTGCATATATTTATATAAGTTTCACACACACACGTATATATTTATATAAGTTTCACACACACACACACACACTTATGTATATATATATATGTTACACACACACACACACACACACACACATATATTTATATAAGTTTCACACACATGCACACACATATGTATATATATAAGTTTCACACACACACACGTATATTTATATAAGTTTCACACACATGCACACACATATGTATATATATAAGTTACACACACACACACGTATATATTTATGTTTCACACACACACACGCATATATTTATATAAGTTTCACACACACACGTATATATTTATATAAGTTTCTCACACACACACACACACACTTATGTATATATATATGTTTCACACACAGAGACACACATATATGAGAAACTGTGTTGTGTGCAGTTTATTTTTATTACTTATTTATGATTTCCAATTTTATACATTTCAATAATAATAATAATAATAATATATCATTTATACCCCGCCCATCTGCTGGGTTTCCCCAGCCACTCTGGGCGGCTTCCAACCGAATATTAAAATACAATACAGTGGTACCTTGGGTTACAGACGCTTCAGGTTACAGACTCTGCTAACCCAGAAATAGTACCTCGGGTTAAGAACTTTGCTTCAGGATGAGAACAGAAATCGTGCTCCGGTGGCATGGCGGCAACAGGAGGCCCCATTAGCTAAAGTGGTGCTTCAGGTTAAGAACAGTTTCAGGTTAAGAACAGACCTCCAGAACAAATTAAGTTCTTAACCCGAGGTACCACTGTAGTCTATTAAACATTAAAAGCTTCCCTAAACTGGGCTGCCTTCAGACGTCTTCTAAAAGTCTGGTAGTTGTTTTCTCTTTGACATCTGGTGGGAGGGCGTTCCACAGGGTGGGTGCCAATACCAAGAAGGCCCTCTGCCCGGTTCTCTGTAAATTGGCTTCTCGCAGAGAGAGAACCGCCAGAAGGCCCTCAGCTCTGGACCTCAGTGTCCTGGCAGAACGATGGGGGTGGAGATGCTCCTTCATTTTACCATCATTTTAACATTTCAAAACTCATCTTCCTTCCCCCTCTCTTTCTGCGGTTCCTTAAATTTAGCACAGTATTAAATTCATTACAATAACCCAGGCATGTGTCGTGCACAGCTTCATTTATTAATTTATGAATGAATGAATGATTTTCAGCTCTATACATTTCAATCATTTTAACATTTTAAAACTCGGCTTCCTTCCCCCTCTTTCTGCAGTTTCTTAAGTTTATTACAATATTAGATTCATTACAATACCCCTGCCCTGTGTGGTGCTCGGTTTCTTTTTTATTATTTATTTATTTATTGACGATTTTCAGTTTTACACATTTCAATAATTTTAACATTTTGAAACTCGGCTTCCTGCCCGCTCTCTTTCTGTGGTTCTTTAACTTTTTATATCTTTTTTTCTGCATATCCAAATGAACTTACTTTGCTCATATAGTCATATACTCAAACTGCAGGTTGTTACAATGATCATGCCAATGTTCTTATGTGTTTATTATCTGTAAACCATTTCCATTCTTTTATAAAAAGCTTATCTTGTTTTCTTATTTTTCTGGTAAGCTTCGCCATTTCTGTATATTCCATATGTTTTTGTACGAACCATAAGGGCAATGGCAACTAAAAACGATCTAAACTCTTATCTTCATGCGCCCCATTATATTTTAAACTTAGAGTGGCCTATGAACATACACCTTATTTTAAAGAATTGACTTTTGTACAACTTCAGAAAGCTTTTACAGAGTTACGATTAAATACAATAAACTCTGCTTATAGAGATGGGAGACACAGAGGCATACCAACAAATGATTTTATTTTTTTTAATGATATTTATTAAAATTTCAAAGAAAAGAAAGAGATTACATTAATAAGAAAATTAACAATAAAAAGGAAAAATACAAAATACAAAATACAAAAAAAAGAAAAAACAGTTAAAAACAATTCCATCTTTTCTTCACTTCTCTTACATTTACTTATTTCCCGGACCTCCTCATACCACCCTCTTTTGTATTCCAATTCAATTTGTTATAGGCATACCAACAAATGAACGTGTTTGCATTAGGGGATGAAGTACAGGACCTTATGCATTATATCTTGCGCTGCCCCTTATATAATGAAGCAAGAGAACGATTTTTAGCACCTATAATGACAAGGTCCCCTGGCCAGAACCCCTCTGACATGATTTTATATCTCCTCGCAGACACAGATAAGTATGTGACCTGGCGTGTAGCACTCTTTGCAACTGCCATTAGGAAAATTAGAGCAAATTATATAGCCAAGGTAGCCACCAACTCTAAAGGAGATGAACTTATTTAACCCTATCTACATCAAGCTATATTCTATCTTTATCACCAAACTCCGAATATAATTGCACATTAAGTAACATTATTTTTTAATATATTAATGGCCATGTGATAATTTTAGCCTATAAATTTTATTGTTTAATGTCTTAACCTGTATATTAAGGTACTTTTATAGCTCTGTTTCGTGTAGGTAATGTCTTGATAATATAAATGTTTTAAGTTTTTTTGTATCAAGCCAGTATATTTTCTTTTAATTGTTGAATGATTTTGTGCACATTGCGGCATCCTTTGGCTATGTGCAATAAAACTGACTGACATATGTTTTTGTATCCACTCTCCTTTTAGCAGTCTTTTCTTGAAAGTGACCCACATTGTGAACTTAGGAGATTCATGCCGTATCATATTATGGCTGTGTTCACACCATACATTTAAAGCGCTTGACTTCCCCCTATGAATCCCGGGAACTGTAGTTTGTTGAGGGTGCTGGGAATTGTTTCTCTGTGAGGTGTAAACTATTATGGTTCCTAGGATTCTTTGTAGGAAGCTATGTGCTTTACATGTATGGTGTGCACCCAGCCTGTGGGTTTTTTAAAATATCTTTTAAATTAATTTTCACATTTAAACATTATCATCATATAAACCGTAACAAACAAATACAATTAAAATAAAAATAGAAAGTAAAACATTTTCACACCGTATTCAATCCATATTTTGGGATTACTTAGATTCCTTGACTTCCCACCATTTCCTCCCCTGGTTCTTTTATAGTATCTTATATTATACATGTCTATAACTTATTTATCCTTAATTTTTTCCGATTTTAAGCATTCTCCTTAATATTACAAGTGTTTTTAAAAACCTGCTATTGTATTAACTTCTTTACATTGCTTTTGTAACTATGCAATAAACATTTTCCAGGCTTTTTTATATTTACTTTCTTCTTGATTTCTTAGTCTTCCAGTTAATTTAGCCATATCAGCATATTCCATTAATTTAAGTTGCCAATTTTCTTTAGTTAGGACTTGTTCTTCTTTACAATGTTGAGCTATCAATATCCGGGCTGCTGTTGCATACATAAACAATTTTTAAATATTTTTTTCAGTATATCCATTCCAGTTATACCTATTAAGAAAGCTTCTGGCTTTTTAACAAATTTTATTTTTAACATTTTTTTCAATTCATTATAAATCATTTCGCAAAAACTTTTTTTAACCTTACATTGCCACCACATATGGTAAAACATACCTTCTCCTTCTTTCACTTCCGGCACTTAATATCTTTTGTCTTATGCATTTTTGATAATTTAACCAGAGTTAGAGACCATCTGTACATCATTTTCATATAATTCTCCTTAAGAGCCATACATGTTGTAAATTTTATATCATTTTCCCGTTATCTTTCCCAATCTGTCATCTGTATATTGTGTCCAGTCTGTGGGGTTTTTGTATTCTTTTTTGTTTTTGTTGGGGGTTTTTTGCATTTGCTTTGCATTTCTGCATTTTGTACACTGCATGGATATATGATAATGTGGTATCATAATTATTGAATAAATAGTAACAATAAATCATTGTTTCCCCTGTCTCCTGCAGAAGCATGCTGTGCAGACCACTGGGCCTGTAGCCCCTCCATAGACCATGTTCTCAGAGCAAGCTGCCCAGTCGGCTCAGAGCCTCCTGACCTCACCATCTGCAGTGGCTTCTACCTTCGACCGCGTGCCTATCTCCACATATTCCAACTGCTCCCAGAACTTCAGGCTTGGGGAGCGGACTTTCAATCGACAGTATGCCCACATCTATGCCACACGCCTCATTCAGATGAGACCGTTGTTGGTTGAAAGAATCCGAGGCAAATGGGGTAAGCATGCCATCAAAAAGATGCCCTCCGGTGGTGGTGGTGGTGACACTTACAAACAGATTTTTTTTGCAGGGGGTGGACTGGTAAAGAATAGACCATGAGTAGGCAAACTAAGGCCTGGGATCCGGCCCAATCGCCTTCTAAATCTGGCTCACGGACGGTCTGAGAATCAGTGTGTTTTGACATGAGTAGAATGTGCCCTTTTATTTATAATGCATCTCTGGGTTATTTGTGGGGCCTGCCTGGTGTTTTCACATGAGTAGAATGTGTGCTTTTATTTAAAATGCATCTCTGGGTTATTTGTGGGGCATAGGAATTCGTTCATTATTTTTTTCCAAAATATAGTCCGGCCCCCCACAAGGTCTGAGGGACAGTGGACTGGCCCCCTGCTGAAAAAGTTTGCTGGCCCCTGGAATAGACTCTCAGTACATTTAGAGTATGAATACATGCATTCACCACTAGCATCAGAGAAGAGTGCTGTCATTTATGGTTAGCTGATTATCGAGCCTACCTAGTGGCAGTGAAAGCAGCAAAGAAGGCATACTTTGCTTGCCTCCATTGCATCCTCATTATGACATCCGGCAGAGCTTTTCTGAGTTTGTGCGGGGCCTTTTACAGGATGGCCCAAAGGAGGTGATAGAACCAACAGTAGCTTGCTGTGACTTGTTTGCAAAGCATTTTGAGGATAAAATTGCTTGCACCCACCAAGACCTTGACTCTGCTGTTATAGCAGATGAGTCTCATGGGGTATCCAGAGCACAGTCCACTCCTGTTGTGTTGGATGAATTTCAGTTGTTGAGGCTTGAGGTTGTGGAAAAGGTGCTCGGATCAGTCAGGGTGGCCACTTGCACTCTAAACCCTTGCCCCTCTTGGCTGATAAAAACCATCGGGGAGGGAACAGCTGGCTAAGCCAGGGAGGTGATGTTCCTGCCTGTTTGAAGGAGGCATTAGTAAAACCGCTCCTTAAGAAACCTTCCCAGGATTTGGAAAACTTAACTAACTACGGGCCCCTATCTGGACAGGGATAGCCTAACTACTGTTGTCAATGCTCTGGTAACCTCAAGGTTAGATTACTGCAGTTTACCTCCATTCATTCATTAATTCCACTGCTTTTACATGTATCTTCATAACACGCCCACCATTTCCCTAAAAAAAACCCCTCAAACCGGGGTAACAACTGTGGATAACACTTTAAGGTTTCACACACTTCTCCCTCTCCTCTTCCAAATTGGTACAACAACACTAGCTACATTTTACCTGTGTTGTTGTTTAGTCGTTTAGTCGTGTCCAACTCTTCGTGATCAAAGTATCGCAAAATTGCAGTATGCTTTCAAGTTCTCCAAAACTTTTCATCGAGCAAGATGTTGCACAAAGCAGGTGGTGAGTGGAATGAGGGATTTTTCTTTTTAAAGTACAGCAATTAGCCTGACTGTTGTAGCCAGGAAGCAACTCCTTTCTGAATAAACACATTTTGGAATTATATTGTTAAGTGGTTTAAAGCTGCATACTTTCACGTACCTAAGCCATGACTCTGACCATGAACCTCATCTCTGAATTATTACTTTGTTCCTGTTGGGAGAAATGGCTTGCTCTCTAGCCAAGGGATTGCAATGTCTAGCTCTCCAGCTATGTCGGAAAACGGCTGATATTGCCAAATCGTAGCGTGGAAAGATTTGCTAACGGTGTCCAAATGTGAGCTTTCATGAGGCAAGTTCAGTTCAAGAAGTGAGGTGTTTCAGATGCTTCACTTCGGTCCCTAAATAAATAGGGAAAGAACTGGCAGTTTTTCTTAGCGAGAGGATCGTGGCCTTGACTATTAAAAAGCTAACTGTTACTCCCACTCCTGTAACAGGTTAAACGCTTTAGCCTGGTGAACTACCAAAAAGTCCCTGTACCTCATTCATGCAAGCAAACTAAACCCAGCCCTTGTTTTGGTGAAAACAGCTGAGGTGTCATAAGACTATCTCTTTTTGTTTTGATATAATACCCCCAAAATACAATCTTATGTAAGTTTAATGTGCACAGGGACAAGTAAGCGTGGATAGGATTGCAGCCTAAGACGACTGCACAACTCTAAGTTATGACCTATAAAGCCTTAAACAGCTCAGGACTGCAATACCTCAAGGACCTCCCCATATGAACTAGCCTGGACCCTGCAGTCATAATCTGAGGCTCTTTTTCATGTGCCTTCTCCTGAGAGGTCTGGAGGGCGGCAACACAAGAACGGGCCATTTCTGTGGTGGCTCCCCATTTATGGAATGTCCTCCCTGGGGAGGCTCACCTGGTGCCTTCTTTACATACGTTTAGGCGCCAGGCAAAAACATTCCTCTTTTCCCAGACCTTTGGCTAATTAAACAAATCCATTTTAAAGTTTGTGGGTGGGGGTATTGTTTTTGTTTGTTCCTGTACAGTGGTACCTCGGGTTAAGAACTTAATTCGTTCTGGAGGTCCGTTCTTAACCTGAAACTGTTCTTAACCTGAGATACCACTTTAGCTAATGGGGCCTCCTGCTGCCGCCGCGCGATTTCTGTTCTCATCCTGAAGCAAAGTTCTTAACTTGAGGTACTATTTCTGGGTTAGCAGAGTCTGTAACCTGAAGCGTCTGTAACCTGAAGCGTATGTAACCCGAGGTACCACTGTAGTATGTATTTTTGTGTTTTTATATTGTAACCCACACCCCGTGATCCTGGGATAAAGAGTGGTATGGGAATATAATAATGTTGCTAGAATAATAATAATAATATCCCTTTGGAGAGAATGCAAAGAAAAAAAGGGTCATTTCAAGTTTTAGATAGAGTTTTAATGGAATTTTCACTGGTAGTCCACTAGAGTGCAGCATTTACTCTTGTTTCCATGGCACCTTGTAAATTTCAACAAGGGATGTCAAAGTTGGGGTTGCCTGGTCTGCATATGAAACGCGGTGCTGGTTCTGTTAGTGCTTCTGGGTCGAACACCAAACTTGATCAGGGATATTTTGATCCAGATATTCCAAGGTGGGGAGAGATTCACGGAATGATCCTCCATGCAACTTTTACTCTCTCAGAAAGCAGGTGGGATCAACATGTACTTCTGTTCGTATTTGGTGAAACACTTCAGTTAGTAAGAATGCAATGTTTAGGCCAGTTGCACATGGAGCCTTGGATCCAGCCCCCTGTTTCAAGAGTTTCTCAGTTTGCTACTACTGATGGTGGGAGGAGGGAGAACCCTGATGGTAGCTTTCCACCCACACAGCGGTGTTCCCCTCCACTTATGGTGACTAGCAGAAAGAGAGCCACACGCAACCCTAACATCCCGTCCCCCACACCAGCTATCAAGTTAGGATTTGCACTCTTAGCTCCTGTAAAAAAAGCCAGACGTCTGATCTGCCATTGCTCTCTCGAAGGGAACAACGTTACCGTGAAGAAACTCTGTGAGCTGCAGCTGGCAGAGAAATGCTGTGTGGTGGGGACGCTCTTCAAATCTATGCAGCTTCAGCCTTCCATCCTGCGGGAAATCAGCGAAGAGGTAACGGGAGGGTGAACTTGAGCTTTTAAGCTGTATGTATGAGACTGTATAAGGTAAAGAGACCCCTGACCATTAGGTCCAGTCCTGACCGACTCTGGGGTTGCGGCACTCATCTCGCTTTATTGGCCAAGGGAGCCGGCGTACAGCTTCCAGGTCGTGGCCAGCATGACGAAGCTGCTCCTGGCGAACCAGAGCAGCACACGGAAATGCCGTTTACCTTCCCGCAGGAGCGGTACCCATTTATCTACTTGCACTTCATGCTTTCGAACTGCTAGGTTGACAGGAGCAGGGACCGAGCAATGGGAGCTCACCCTGTCGCTGGGATTCGAACCGCCAACCTTCTGATCGGCAAGCCCTAAGCTCTGTGGTTTAACCTACATTTCCTATGACTGCACCAAGATTATCCTCAAAGCAGTCCTGTGGTTAGGCTGAGAGACAGTGATTGGACTCCCAGGCCCTCCTGGTCTAGCACTCTAACCCCCATACCGCAAACAGGCTTTCTTTTGCAGAGGTGGCTCTCTTGACTTTGCTACCCTTTGGCCCTCATTGTCCCCTGTATACTATTTGGCCTGGCTGGGAGACAAACCCAGAGAGCTTCCATTGGTCCACCTTACACAGCATCTACAGTGACTGGCAGCGCCTCTCCAGGGTTTCAGGCAGGAGTCATTTCCCAGATCTACCTGCAGATGCCTGGGATTGAACCTGGGCTGTTCTGCATTCAGACCAGCTGCTCTGCCTCTGAGCTACAGCCTTCCCCCCAAAAAGTCCGCTTTGCGGCTTGCAGCTGTCATTCTTGCTGAACCAGCATGCCTGGCTGGTCCCTGGGAAAACAATCCCCCATCTGGAAGGCTCCTTAATCCTGCTGGCAGCGTGGGTCAAGCCTTTAGCGAGAAGCGAGGTCCTAGCTAGCTTCGGAAGGACGGTTGTTGAGTAATAAGTTTTAACTCGCCCTGATAATGAACTCCATTCAAGCAGCACTTCATGATTGCAAACACATGCGCTGGAGCCGAACCACCAAAGCTTGGCTGGAGGAAGTTGCTGACCAGATGAGTAACATCACTTTTGGAGACGTTTCTAAAAGTCTTTTTTACTCGCCGCAGTCCCGGATGCCAGCGGCCGTTAGAGGGGAAACAGCTTATGAATTATTGTTTGCGCATTTTATTTCCCTTTTGGAAAATAAGTACTTCTTGTCATAGGATGACTTTCCCTGGATGGCATGCTCTCTTCGTTGTTGTTGTTTAGTTTGTGTGAGTCATGCTGTAGTGTAATGCATTATTCCAGCCCGTCAGGTCCACATATTGTAAAAGCATTGAGTTAAAACTCCGAAGCCTGTGAGCACTTTCTGAAGTCCTTTTGCATGCTACTAGGACCAGTCTCTTCACCTCTGAACTTCTTCAATGATGCACAACTTAGCAGAGTAGTTCAGCTTTTCCTAGGCAACGATCGAGACTGCTCAGTCAGGACAACGGTCAGGAACAAAGCTGATGACTAGTAACTTGATTTTGTAGTTTATTATATACAGCAGTAAACTCTCAAGCTATATACAAGTTACTATATACAGACACAAACTTCATCACTCTCCATGCACTCCAGAATACTCCTAACTAGCCGAACAATGTCATAGGTCATGCTGCGTATATGAGAGACCTCAGCCAATCACCGAGCTGTTACTAGGTCCTCTTATTTCCAGGCAAATTTCTCCCGTGTTCTGTCTCCCTAGCCTGTAGTCAAAACACTAATTGCTCACTTGCCAAGCTGCGCGTAGACTATGAACTCCAACAGCTTTTACCTGAAATGGTTCCCTGCCACGTATGTGGCTATTTGGGAAGGATTTTCATGGGAAGGCACTGAAGGTTGGTGGTACATCACCGAAGGTTCCTCATTTGATTGCCAGCCTCTAAGGAGAGCTGGAAAAGATCCCTACCTGATGCATCACTGCTGGTCAGTAGGGCTGGGTGATATATCAATATATCATCCAAAACCCGTTTGAAGTCCATATTGTGCTATCGGTTTCATAAGTTTTGACCTGGCAGTATATCGTGAATCATGATGTATGTGTGTGCTCTGCAGAAATCACAAGAAAGGAAAAGCTGTGAAGCCAGCCAGTTCTTCTCTCAGTTCCTGCAGCCTCTGTTAACTCTGTCTGCTCAACTCTCCCCTGCCTCATGCAGAGAGCAGCGAACCACAAGAACAGGCGCTGGCAAAATTCACAATATGGGAGAAGCTGGGAAGCAGCCAGTGCTTCTACATAGCTCTATCTTTATTTCAGACATTGTGATATATTGGTATATCGCGATGTTCAGCTGATGATATATCACGATGTTGAAAACCAGATATCGCCCAGCCCCAACTGGTCAGTGTAGGCCGGGAGGTGACTTAACCCACAGCTCATGGGCCGGATTCTGTTCTCCAATTTTTTTATCTGGCCACCAAAGATCCTCATAATCTTTGCAGTGGCAGCAAACGTATTTAAAAAAGAAAAACCTCTGCCCAGGTCAGCACCATTATGGAGCTGCAAACTGCTGCTTTCTCAGTCATCAGGCTGATCATCTGATGATAAAGGCCCTGATCCTTGCCACTAATGAGCTTACTGCTGAACTGAGACTCTTGGAGCAAGGCCCAGCTTGCAGAATGCAGTTTCTGTAGCGTCTTACGCAGGGGGAGGTGGTCACAAACGTCTCGGGGTTCAGGACCATGAAGGGCTTTAAATATAAGAAACTTGGATGATGCTGGGGTTGCTGCAAAGCTATTTTTCTCCCTGAGGCTAGCTTTACATAGGAACATCGGAAGCTACCTTATACTGTTACGCCAGTGATCGATCTAGCTTAGTACTGATGACACTGGTAGTTTCCCCAGCCATATGTGGAGACAATGGGGTTTGAACCCAGAATCTTCTGCATGCAAAGCCAGTGCTCTGCTGCTGAACTTCGGCCCTGTATACCTGAAGGAGTGCCTCCACCTCCATCATTAAGCCTGTAAACTGAGGTCCAGCTCTGAGGGCCTTCTGGCGGTTCCCTCATTGCGAGAAGCGAGGTTGCAGGGAACCAGGCAGAGGGCCTTCTCGATAGTGGTGCCCGCCCTGTGAAACGCCATCCGGTGTCAAAGTTATACACTGGTGCCCTGCAAGACGAATGCCTCGCAAGACGGAAAACCCGCTAGACGAAAGGGTTTTCCGTTTTGGAGGTGCTTCGCAAAACGATTTTCCTATGTGCTTGCTTCGCAAGACGAAAATGTCTTGCGAGTTCCTGCGGGGTTTTTTTCCTCCCCCCCCCTTTTTCCCAAGCCGCTAAGCCGCTTAACAGCTGATTGGCTGAGCCGCTTATCAGCTTATCGTTAAGCCGCTTAACAGCTGATTGCTAAGCCGCTTATCAGCTGATCCGCTAAGCCCGCTAAGCCGCTAATACTGTAGCGCTAATCCGCTAAACCGCTAATGGGCTTGCTTCGCAAGACGAAAAAACCCGCAAGACGAAGAGACTCACGGAACGGATTCTTTTCGTCTTGCGAGGCACCACTGTACAACCTTCTGTAGACATCTAAAGTCAGCCCTGTATCGGGGGAGCTTTTAATGTGTGATGTCCTGTTGTGTTTTTGTATATTCTGTGGGAAGCTGCCCAGAGCGGCTGGGCCAAACCAGTCAGATGGGCTGGGTAAAAAAAATTGATGGTGAGCTATGGCTCCAGAACTGTGTAGCTTCTGCTGCTTCCTCACATCTGGGTGTTGCTTTCACAGCACAATCTGCCACCACAGCCTCCCCGCACCAAGTATATCCACCAATCAGATGAGCTGATCTTGGAAGACGAGCTGCAGCGAATTAAACTGGAGGGAGCAATTCGAACTGACAAGCTAGTGACAGGTAGGATGTTTTGGGGCAGGACAGTCATGGTAACGGGACCAGGGCATGATGTTCAAACCAACAAGCTACACAGCGCCACATAGGAGTGCAGGATTCAGCACTAACCCCATGTCCTTCCCAATCTGTCTCATTGACTTATATATCATTACTAGGGCCAGTAAGTGTTGCTGCTTGGGACAAAGGTCAAAATGATGCCCCGCCCCCATCCCATGAACAGAATCTGACTTTATTGGCAGTTGAATCTTGCTGCAGCGCTGACCCCATTGTATGAAAAGAGCAGCCCATAGCTTTGGGGCAGTGTTAGAAACTGAAATATGAAAGCTAGGAGCTAAATGGCACCTTAAGCCTAGGTTCTGGGAGCAACAATGGAGTGTCTAGGCATGCTTTTTCATAAGAAGAATACAAAGCTGCTAGTGAATGAACTGCAGCTAAAATATTATGTTCATTTTTCACATGGTCTGGTCCTTCCCTGCCTACCCCCCTAATATTCATAAGAGGGTCTCTTCGCCAGTCTTCAGAGAGTAGCTGGAAGTGGGGAGGCAGAAAAAGGTCCTCCTTTCCTTCCACCCTTCCACTTTTCTCCCTGAGGCTAGCTTTACATAGGAACATCGGAAGCTTTAATCTGAAGTTAATCGGAAGTTTTAATCTGAAATCTTCGGCGCAGTACTGCACCCAGAGCTCAGAAACTGCTCGTGCTAATGAAATTCCCTGTTGCAAAATGCACCGAGAACAATGGGAGTTTCATACACTGCTTTCGGGACACAGAGAGGACTTGCTTAGCAGACTCAAGGGGAACAGTTATACTACAGGCACAATAACAGTATTTCTTAATGTTTTGGTTAACGTTTCTACTGGATTCGTACTGTATTTTGATGATATATACTGACATTTCGCTTGTGATGTAATTTGTGTGAGCTGCTTTTAGGTTTTGTAATATTAAGTGATATATGTTATTCAAAGGAATGAATGGTTAGGGGCTGCTGTCCCCCTTTGTAAGTGCTGCCTTAGTCAGCTACCTCACTCTTGCCTAATGTTAGAGCCAGTCATGGGAATTACGTGGTTGGGGTGTGGGAGACTTGCTGGGTAATTTGACAGGTAGGCAAGGTCTCTGATTAACCCTTTTCTACCCAATGATTCTCTCCTGCCAGTTTCCTCCCCACAACACCAACACTTTAAAAATCGTCCCTCCCCCTGAATCTGGCTTGTGGGTTGGGTAAAAACACACCTGCAGAGGAAATTGATTTGGAGAGCTTATTCACTTGATAATGCCAAATGCCACATTCAGGTTATGTCTGCAAATTCAGGTTTGAAGACATCTGTTCCACTATAATAGGAAGCTCTGCCCCCAGAGTTCTTCAAATTTTATAACGATTGGAAGGTGGAAAAGCAAGATCTGGGTCAACTAAAGGAGGCATCTGGCGAATGAAAGTAAAGTGGTATGGTTTGTGACCAACAAGAGAACTGAAATTCAGGTGTCTTATTCAGGAAATCCCTTCCCATCCTATTTGCGTGTGAAACTGTAACACCTGCCAGCTTTCGACCATTTAATTAACGTTATTCTCTGAATCCTGGGAAGGGCGTGGGATTCTAACATAGTGAAGGAAAGGCTTCTTGGCCTCCTTAGCTCATTTTGAGATACCTTCTTACGGGAAGGAGTGATAGCAAAAAGCTTTAGGAAAGGGCAAGTGAGCTTGTGCAACTATAGGTGAGCAGTTTTCTGTGGAAGGCATTTTTTAAAAACAACAACACTGTTTTTACACGGAAGACATGATGGGTTGAAGAGAGCAGAACAAGACCATGTTATTAAAGGCAATGTGTTTCCCGCACATCATGAACAATGAAGGTCTGTGCGTTGTTCAGGACAGGCTAGCGCTAAACTGTTGTAATTACGACTCTTTCTTCTGCTGGGCCAGGAACCATCCTCGCTGTCTACGGCTCGGAGACGGATGATGGCAGATTCCTTGTTGAGGATCACTGCTTTGCAGATATGCCCACCCAGCTGCCCATGATGGGGCCCAGCACAGACAGGTGAGACCGCCCAGAAGATTGTCGTTGTTGGCATAAGAAGAGCGTCCAGCCATTCGGCAAGCTAAAATAGTTCCTCCCCACCAAGCCAATTCATACATACGTTTGTGTATGAGGCAGCTGCTTCTGCCCTCTGCACTTCAGTTTTGTCCCCACTGGAAATGGGTCCCTGGAAGGTTGACTATAATGGAACTATCCCTCAGTCTGGAAAAGATTACCTGCCCCTGACTTAAATCATGGAAGGTACAGGTGGAGCGCCAGTTCTTTTTCAGGTGTTCCAGTCCAGCTCTTAGGGCATTCTGTAAAGGGGAAGCTCTCGAAAAAATCTACATTTTCAGGGTGCAGAATTGATGAAGGAGCTTTATGAACAGTCTGCAGTTGGTATAAGGAAGTCAAAAGAGGTAAATGGGCAGTCATTTTTCTAAATGTATTTGGGGGTGAGCACAAGTAGGCATCTGCTGAATGATGCTTGAACCTGAAAATCTTTTGGGACGGTTAGTTGTGCAGTGACAGAAGGTTAACATCTTGGGCTGGAGGAGACAAGGGTCTGTAATTTTTAAGAAAAAGTTTTAAGACTATGCATCACTGCTTTCCGATGCTTTAGAACTGATTCTGCTCTCATTACGTCCTTTTGCTTCCATCTTTATTGCATTCTCTAAGTCTAAATTTGGATTTTTTAATGTAACACAAGTGTTTCTTAATGCTTTAAATATGTTTTAGGACTCCTATAAACCACTTCAGAGGCTTATGTTTTGGCTGGGAAGCGAGATATAAATAGCAATAATCAAATTAAAGTAATCAAAACCCACCCACCCAAAAATTATACATATAGGAAATTAATCCCATCAGGATATTTGAGTTGTCGACAGGGGTGAATTTATGGCTGCATGATAAAGAAACCTTTTCTGCCCTTTCAATACCCAAGTCTGCCAGTTTATCTCCCAGGTCACTCTCAAGTCGATATCTACTGATGTTCCAAGTCCATTTATTTAGCCTGTTTGGTTAGGCAAGCTGCCTAATTTATTTAGGCCTTGTCCACATCTGAGTCTGCCGTTCAGGTCTGATTTGGACTACCATCAACCCTAAGCATTGGCACTCAGTGGTGCTAATGAGAGTTATAGTTCAGATCTTTCAGAGGGCACCATGTTGGTTATTCCTGGTTCAGCTGCTGCGTGAACCAGGCCCTTTAGTATAGTGGCGTCAGTAATTTTGAACATTGTCCTATTGAAATCAGGCTGGCGCCTGCAACCCTGATATTTCGGCACACCCTGAAAACGTAATTGTTTTGCCAAGTGTTTATAATTTGATTTAGCGTTCGTCATTTGTTCTGCGTTTTAAGATCTTACAATTTTAAGATCTTAAGATCTTACAATTTTATGGTTTTATTTATTTCATAGTTTTATGTGTTTCCCAAAAATGTATATACTGCTTGATTGTAAAGAAAAACGTTAAAGCAGTTTTGATGTTGTTATATCATCCACCTTGATATTTTTATGTGTTGGTGGTTTGTAAACATTCTAAAAAATAAATAAACCCTTGGCTTATGGAAATCTCAGGAGGAGGCATTGCTCTGCTTTGTTAGGTTGTTGAGACTGTATGGTTTTCATTTGACTGCTTTCAATTTTCTTGTAATTTTTGAGGGCAAACAGATTTTTCTCTCTCCCCCGAGACTCCCCAGAAGCCAAACATGGGCCATTTGTGCCCTAGCCTCATTCATTTGCATTTTATTTATACAACAATCTGTACCACACTTTTTCCCTTTCAAAAAGAGCCTCATACAGAGCCCAAACTAGCAATGTTTATGGAATGCCCTCCTGGGTGAGATGCATTTGTCTCCCTCATTCTTTTTGATGTTTGCTGTCCTGGGCTCCTTTGGGAGGAAGGGTGGTATGCAAATCCAATATATAAAGAAAATGAGCACAATCAAAATAGTGTTTAAAAAGTAATGCCTTCAGTTGCTGTCAGGCGGCAGAGGAACCAGCCTCTATGGCAGGTTGCCAGGAACAGAAAAGTCCTTACCGTCTACTTTTTATTCAATATTTACAGAGAGAGGCTTGGAAATGAGCCTCTTGGAATAATGGCGTTCCCCCAAGTATGTCTCTCCTCTCCTTCTCTCGCACTTCATCATTTGTCATCCCTTCTACGGGTGGCACTGAGGACCCTTTGCTTCTGAACCCTTTGCTCTCCTACTTTTAAGGCTCACCGGTTTCTGGGAGATGGTGGGTCTGGAATGCTTTCTACTGATAACGTTTCAGCCAGCTGCTCAGGCTCTGCCCTCCTCGTCTCCCATTATCTCCCAACTTTTCCTCTCATCTTCCCCTGAGCTGTGATCTCCCTCAAACCCCTGTTGTAATTCTGAACTGTCTTCTTCTTCTCTGGAAGGGTCAGGCTGGGGAGGAGGTCTCCACCATTCCTCCTCTGCCCAGTGCCTGACAGTTGCCTATGGAACACAGATAGATGGAGGAAGCTAACCTAACCTCTCAGCCATGCTGGTTCCTCCGCTGCCTGCCTCTGAAGCCTGCAGCTCAAAGCACCCATTCAGTGGCATGACTTGCACCTCAATCACTCAGCTGTTGGTTCTTCTTGTGCCTCCAGGTTTGTCTTGCTGGTGTCTGGCCTCGGCCTCGGTGGCAAGAGTGGAGAGAGTCTTCTGGGCATGCAACTCTTGGTGGACATGGTGACGGGGCAGCTGGGAGCCGAGGGAGAGCAGTGCAGCGCATCTCTCATCTCCCGTGTCGTTCTGGCAGGCAATTTGCTCAGCCAGAATACCCAGAGCCGAGACGCCATGAACAAGGTGAAGACCTAGGATGCATTCTGCGCGGGCCTATTTTATACCCTGCCTTTCTTCCTCTGTGGAACCTGAGCATTCCCAGGCGGTCTCCCATCCAGGCACTGACCAGACCGAGACCAGCTTAGCTTTAGCAAAGTAGCTATTCCAGTGCCTTCAGGCCACGCCCTGAGCCCATTGGTAGTGTTGCTAGGAAGCAGTTGACTCAGTGCTTCCAAGCTAAGGTCTCATGATGCATTTCTTGTGGCAGGGAACTGATAGTCAGATAAATACGTAGATCCAACTCACAAGGTTGTGCTAGCGTAGCAAGCAATTCAATTCATTGTATATATAGCCAAAGACCTTCACAACAGAGGGCAAAAGCAAGGCATTCCTCTAAAATCGCACGACGTAAGTCTTATAAAAGTCTACAGCATGTCAATTTAAAATTACAATACATTAATGTAACGAGAGCGAAGCTTATTAGCTGCCACAGCAAATTTGGCTACCAGATGTGTAATTTGTAGATATTTATTGGCTAAGAGTTCAACTATCAACTGTTTTCTGCCAGTGTAAGGATTTCTGCTTGCGCGACCTAACTTCCACCGTCTCGTCCCCCCCAAATGCCCCCAAAATCTGTGTTTGGGGTTCCCCCAACTCTTCTTTATTTTTTTATGTTGTGAACCACCTTGAGATCTGTGGATGAAGGGTGGTATACAAATTTAGTAACTAAGTTAAATAAATAAACATTTTACCTTCCCTTCATAAACTAAGTGCAACCATCAATGGCTCGGTTATCCCACTAGATTTCCTCATCCCATTAAAGCTTTCATTCTCTCTCTTCTTTGGCTGACCTTCCTGCATGATCTCATTCAGGCAAAGTACCTGACCAAGAAGACTCAGGCTGCCAGCGTGGAAGCTGTGAAACTGCTGGATGAAATCCTGCTGCAGTTGAGCGTGAGTGCTATTTTCAGAAGTGAGGTGGTGGTCAGGATCTCTCTCAGTCTAGGGTGAAGCCCACGTTCATGCCTGGCTAGCGATTTCTCGGTCAAGGGAGGAAAATAATTTGAGCTTCTTGCAGGTTGCTGCTAAGATATTAATATTAGGCAAATCAATATTAAATACTTTCAAGGTTTGGGTATATTTTTATATATATATATATATTTCTGTGCTGCTTTTTAGCCTCATATAGGGTTCCTAAAGTGGCTCACAGTACTAGCAAAACAGTAACGAGAAATCAATTTGCAAGAAGTACCTTATTAAAAATAGCAGTATCGTAAATGTTAGAGGATCAGAAGGACATCTAATCAAAGCAGGTTTAATGATCTTTCTGAAGCATGGATGGGGGACATTTGACTCTCCAGATATTGTCAGACTCCAACTTCCATGAGACCCAGCTAGCATAGTTGATAGTCAGGAAGGGATTGTGTGAGTTGAAGCCCAGCAGCATTTGAGGTGCAGACACAGGGTCCCTCTCCCTGTTCTAAAGACAGGACAGGAAGTGGCTGAATGAGCCTCTCGAGGGTCCCAATTACTTGCCAAGCATTCGTCACATAGCAGTAGGAATCCAAGGAGAGCTTCCTGGGGAGATCTTAATAGGTGGGCAGAAACTTGCAGGAGCAGGTGGTCCTTTAGGTACCCCAGATCCAAACCATATTGGTCAGGGATGGGGATGTTGCATGGTCCTCTAGGAGTTGTAGGGCTACAACTCCAGGAGCTGATAAGAGTTCCACAATAGTTGGAGAGTCGCAGGTCCCCAAGCCTTGCTGTAAGGCAGGTCATATTATTATCCGCCACACTGCATATGGGTGGACAGAGGTTGAAAGAAATTGGTCAGTCTACGGGCAGTGACCACCATCGGCCACGGCGGTTGGGACTGATGGACGTTGGAGTCCCAACAAGGTTGGAAGGGCCACGGAAGCCCCATCCCTGGTAATAGGGCATTAAAGGAAAGAGCACTTCAGAACGGGCTTGGAAACACAAGCCAATGCATGTTAACACTGTGACATGCTCCAAATAATGGACCCTTGTGAACAGCCGCGGCATCTGAACCAGCTGCAGTTTCCAAGCCACCTTCAAAATCAGTCCTGCATGTAAAACACAGTGCAGTAATCTGGATTTAGTGACCAGGCTACAGGGTGTAGAGCTGTAGGATTGTCATGCTGAGTGTTCCCTCTGAGCACATGCTGAGCACAGGAATTTGTTTTCAGTATCAGAACTGAGGTCACGGTCCTGCTGCACGGAAATCCACTCCTGGTTTTCATCGTAAGCTCCCTTCACCTCAGCAGCTTAATTTCCAATGGGGGTGGGGGAGCTTTTCATTGTTGGCTGTTGTTAAACAATTGGGATTCATCATAAATGCTGGTCTACTGCAATTCAGAAATGAACTTGTAGATCCCAGTCTACCCACTCCTCTCAGAGCCTAGCTTCTTTCCTTGTTGCCTCTGCCCAGCAAGGGAGCTCTTCTTGGGCCTGACTGCCTGCCCACTTTGCCCTTACAGATGTCTGTACCTGTAGATGTGATGCCTGGTGAGTTTGATCCCACCAACTACACGCTGCCTCAACAGCCGCTGCATCGCTGCATGTTTCCCCTCTCGAGCGCCTACTCCACGCTGCAGCTGGTGACCAACCCCTACCATGCCAACATCGATGGCGTCAGGTAAAGGCAGTTTTCCTAACTCTTAAGGGAAGCACCGCTGCTGCTAATCAGCTTTCAGGTGTTCAGAGCACTTCCACGTGTATTGAGCCAGCGTGATCTAGGGGTCTTCTGAGTAAGGTGACACAAGGACTGCCATTAACTTGGGAAAGGAGACAGGCAGACAGGTGCTGTGAACTGATAGGCTGGGGAAAGTGGGCTCCAATCTTGCACTCTGCTTCCTGTGAAGCTAATAATAATAATAATAATAATAATAATAATAATAATTAATAATTAATAATAATAAATGTATTATTTATACCCCGCCCATCTGGCTGGGTTTCTCCAGTCACTCTGGGCAGCTTCCAACAGAATATTAAAATACAATAACCTATTAAACATTGAAAGCTGCCCTAAACAGGGCTGCCTTCAGATGTTGTCTAAAAGTCTGGTAGTTGTTGTTCTCTTTGACATCTGGTGAGAGGGTGTTCCATAGGACGGGTGCCACTACCGAGAAGGCCCTCTGCCTGATTCCCTGCAACTTGGCTTCTCGCAGTGAGGGAACTGCCAGAAGGCCCTCGGCGCTGGACCTCAGTGTCCGGGCAGAACGATGGGGATGGAGACGCTCCTTCAGGTATACTGGACCGAGGCCATTTAGGTGTAGTGGTTAAGAGCGGTAGTCTCGTAATCTGGGAAACCGGGTTCGTGTCTCCGCTCCTCCACATGCAGCTGCTGGGTGACCTTGGGCCAGTCACACTTCTTTGAAGTCTCTCAGCCCCACTCACCTCACAGAGTGTTTGTTGTGGGGGAGGAAGGGAAAGGAGAATGTTAGCCGCTTTGAGACTCCTTAAAGGGAGTGAAAGGCGGGATATCAAATCCAAACTCTTCTTCTTCTTTAAAGGTCAGCACCAGCACTTTGAATTGTGCTCGGAAACGTACTGGTGTCCGGCCAGTTGCTGCCTCTCAGCCTACCTCATAGGGTTGTTTTGCAGATAAGGAGAGCAGGGGAATTTGGGAACTCATATATGCCACCCTGATTCCTTGAAGAAAGTGTATTAACAGACTCTTTGGTATTCTAGGGTTTGATTTCTTCATTCAGCTTTAACAGTTCCACTTCCCTCCTCGATTTTAGGTTTTTAGGGACTTCGGGCCAGAACATCAGTGACATCTTCAAGTATAGCAGCATGTCTGACTATCTAGAAATCCTGGAGTGGACCTTACGGATTGGGCATCTCAGCCCCACAGCCCCAGACACACTTGGTAACTTCATCAAGGGAATCTCATGCTGTGTGGTGATCCAGCCGACTCTATTTTTTTATGGGGGGGAAGACCAATTTTATTTTAGTCGGCTATATATGAATAATTTCTGTTACAATTTTATATTGATTGTTTTTTAATGATTGCGTTGTTTTCTTGATCTGGGGGGGGTTGCCCCAAATTTTTATTAATTTTCCAAATTATTAGAAATCGAACCAAATTACTTTAATACAATTTCTTAAAATCAGGTTTCCTGTTCCTTTTGCAAAACATGTCGATTCTGATCTGTGTTTTTAATATGTATGTGGTTATAGTTCATTCATAGACATGAGCTGCTTTGGGTGTTCTGTGAGCAGATGAGTATATGTATAGAAATGCAATACCTATATATGAATGATAAATAATTTATTAGTTGGCTTCTCTCTCTCCAGTTTTGGCTACATGATAGAAATCTAGCCCTTTAAAAAACGGGCAAGGAAGAAGACAGTGGTCTTCAGCTAGCGGCAGTTATCATTAACATGTTCACTTCTTTCCCCAAAACACATGATTTTGGGTTGTGTGTAGATGGTCAGGTCCTACCAGCCACCAAAAATCTTGGGTCCTCCCAGATTTTTCGGTTTCCTATGTCTTTTACTTCTGTCTGCTGATGGGCCATTCCTTTAAAGGCACCCGTTTCCTTGTTTTTCAGGCTGTTACCCATTTTACAAGACTGACCCCTTCATCTTCACTGACTGCCCTCACGTCTATTTCTGTGGGAATGCACCGTCCTTCAAATCCAAGGTTGCTGAAGGTAAGGCAGTAAAAACCTGGCTCCCAAGAAAGGTCCAGACCTTTAGTCTGTATCCTTTCTGACTTGAGACCTATTCAAAGCTCCTTCATTCATAGCGAGTTCTGCAATAATGTTGGTGTGTTTTCACATCAGAGTTTTGGTCCTTGTTCACTCTTGTGCAACGTAAGACTAAAGAAATGTATACTGGGATTATAGGATCAGCCTGAGATGTTGTGTTGTTGTTTTTTTACCAGGCACAAAGTGCTCTTGTAATACAAATTGAGTTCTGCTGGAAAATTTGCCTAGGCAAAAAAGGCTGCTCGTAGCCACTCTTATGTGTTGGATCTCATCCAACTATAGCACTAGGCAGGTTTACCCACGACTGGTGTACAGGCCCAGTAGTTTTTTGGAGAGTGTTATGATGTGGATGGGATGCTTGTTTCTGTTTAATTCCTTCATGTTGAAGTAATAATTCTATTGAATTTCTGTCCACTTTACAGAGCCAGTACTTAGGGTGGTATTCAGAGAAGAATTTCTGTTCGTACAAGGGCTTCTGGCGGAGCAAGTGGAACTTCCTCTCCTCTTCCCATGTCGCCCCTAAATCTGTTCTGGGGCAGATTTGGGGAGGGCACAGGGGTGTGCAAGAATGCGGGGAGGGGCTGTTCCCTTGCACAGCCAGCTGCCTTTATGTTAATAGAACTGCTTTGTTGGATATCACTGCTCATCTTGTATATAAGGAAGCTTGCTTGTTCGTTCTGCTCAGTATTGTCCATTCTGACTTCCAGCAACTTTCCAGGATCTCAGGCAAAGTTCTTTCTTGTCTCTTGTAGCTTCATCCTTCTTAACTGTAGATGCCAGGGAATGAACATGTTACCTTATGCATGAGCAATGGACCACAATACCAGGCCCTTCTGATTCATTTCATTAATTAGTTTTCCTTTCCTGCCTTGCCAGGTGCTAACGGTCAGAAGGTCTTGCTGGTGACCCTCCCTGATTTTGCCACCACACAGACTGCTTGCTTGATCAATCTACGTGACCTCACCTGCCAACCAGTTAGTTTCTCTGCCTTTGGTGCCAATGAAGAGGAGGAGGAGGATGAGACAGTAATAGAGACTGGACACTGAGAGACATGTTTGATATCTTACTTCTTCCCTGGAGCTTGGAGCCATTGTTGTCCCCCCGCCCATGAAATTTCCTGGATATTTGAACCTATGGTTCGTACAGAGGAATACAGTGAAAGATATCATCCATTTACTTGCTTGTGAATTCCCTGCAGTTTTTTCACACACAAATAAATGCAGAACTTGAAGTGCTTCCTTTTTATATATAACTCACTTTATTCATATAACAAGAACTGTTGGAAAGCCAAAAGTGATCAAGGTGGCACTAGACCTGCCTCCTGGGCAGCTGTGGCCTGGGTGCCCTGTATTGCTGAACTTGGCAAATTTCCATTTCCCCTCCCTTGGCTGCTGAAATTGACAGGCTTATTAATGGGAAAACTGCAACTTTGGTTAGATCAGGGTGGGGGAACATGCAGCTCTGTAGCTGTTGTTGGGATACCAAGTCCCATCATCCCTGACCACTAACTATCCTAGCTGGGGCTGATAGGAGTTGGAGTCCAGCAGCAGCTGGAAGGCCACATGTTCCCCACTACAGGGTGAGAAACTAGCTGGAATAACTGTTAGAAGATCGGACTGTACCTTTTAATAAAGAATCTGGTAGTTCCCATGGAATCTTGGACATTGCTTTGAAAGCTATGAAGATTCTATCCCTTATGGAGAAGAAAACCTTGGGCAGGGGAGTTCAATTATCAGAAACGTTTAAGCTTGGCTGGCACGATGTACTTGGAGCCTCAAGTGGTACATCTGTTGCCGCCCTTCGCTCCAATATTGTAAGAATATTGTTCCAAAGCTGGAACAAGCCCTCTGAATTCTGCACACACCCTTTCCCAAAAATAAAGGCTATGATCCAGCACAGTGATGCAATACTTGCAACCTACAGATTTTTTTTAAAGAGACAAGTGCATATGCAACTGTGTACTAAATTGTGGCTAAGG